AGCGGAGACGGCGACAACAAACATATGCCCGAACATACAGGCATACACCGGCTTTCGCTTTGAAGGACTCTTCAAGCACGTAGCCGGGATAATTAAGGTAGCCTGGTCAGCAGGCGGAAGTATTTGTGTCTACGTCAGTAACAACAATGTCTCAAGATGGTGGTGGACAGCGTTGAGGTTAGAGTGGAGTCCGCGAAAGTTGCAGAACTCGACCTCAAACAGCGTTGAAGGCGTGGAGTTGTGCACCGCTGTACCTCCAAACTTTGTTTTACGAGCTGCCATTATGGAAGTGAAAAAGAGATGTGAAACGAGTGGACGTTGTCGCGACAAGACCGGGCAAATTAGGGAGGCATGCCCCCCCGGGAGTAGCCGCCGGGACCCCACGCCCCGGTCACCAACCGGCACGACGGTCCACCCCGAGATTATGCGTGACATGATGGGGCAGCCTCGCGAACTGGTTAGGAACGCTCGGGCCCCTATACTGTGCCACGGGCGGCCAGCGGGACAGCCGTTTCTACGGGTCTCCCTGGCCGGCGGGTCGATGCAGTCCTCCCGGAATCGGTTCCACGGATGCCTAGCCCTGGACAGAATCCGTCGCGACAACCTCCACTCGAGCCCTGGTTGTACGCTGGCTGACCCCGAAACGCGCGAGAAGCACTACACGGGTTTTTCACCATGCGCACGGTGGTAACAAACCAGGCGGGTGTTAGGCACCCTACCACCAGCAGAGCGGATGGAAGCTCCGATATCCCTTAGTCGCCTCTTACGACACCCACGGGAAGAGAAGGGGCGGTGAGTTGTATTCTTTCTCCGTCACCGCACGGACAAATATTTCCATACAACATATTTCCAACACACACCATTTAGCCTAGCCCCAAAGTAAGCACGGTAAGGCTTGTGTTATGGGAAGCTAGGCTAACACATAGAATACATATACCATACATATATAAGTATATTTATATAGAAACACATATTAAACATCCATGACTGGAATACAAATGCTCGTATTCATCACACAAACACCTGCCCCCACCGGGATTCGAACCCGGGACCTCTTTAGTCGGCGACACCATGAAACCCGGCGTACAAACCACTCAGCCACGGAGGTCGTCAATACAAAATAGAAATATTTTAAGAATAGCAAAGGGTGCGGGTTCGCGTCCCGTCTCCTGCCTGGTCCGCTTGGAATTTTTTCTAGTGAATTTTCGTTATGGTTTTCTTTATCAAATGTTTACCAAAAATACAGATATTGTGTTGAACTAAAACATCTTGCTGGCACGTTCGTTCAATTTTGTGTCTATCTTCCAAAATTAGTCTGAATGAATAAAATTTTTACGACATAGGCCAATGCGCTTGAATTTTTTATTTATATACTAATAGAATAATGGTCATCGCATCCACCCGGATAGCGGAGGGTGCAGCTTCGAGTCCCGTCTGCTACCTGGTCCGCGTGGGTTTTATTCTACTAAAATTTTCATTACATTTAAACATCAAGCAGTTAAAGGCTTAAAATAAAAATATAACTATTTGTATTCCTTTAAATTATTTCTGTAACTAGTTGTGTAATTTCGATTACTCGTTTTTTTTAAAATAAATGGTTTTTAATAATAAAAACACAAGTCATAAATTGCGTATCATGTATATAATTTCGTTACAGTTACATCTCAACGGAAACGTTACAATAGATACTCTAAAACCTACGACATTAATTCCGAAGGTACATTACAGTTATAATATTAATTACACAAATTACATAACGCATTTAGGCGCCGTCCCACGATGTGTGTTATGTACACAAATCAAATATATTATCAGAAAGTTAATAAATGTGTAATTCACAAAGGATCGTCTCAGTAAGTACAGATTCATTATGCCATCACTATGTAAATGCATCCTTATTCGTATCATCACTTCGTATCATGTATGTACTGCTAAATCTCTATAATACGTTTGGCAACCCTGTGCGGTGCGGCCTCGCCCGCGACAACACACATCGCGGGATAGCACCTTTAGACATTGTTTAAATGGAGCTCCGGAGTTTTGATATAAATAGATTTAGAGAAATAATTGGGGTTACATGAATTTGATAAAATTAATATGAACGATGGCCATATACATTTAACTAGTTATTTCATTAATCAAAATTTCATAGTGACAAAATTTTTAAAGTCACAGATAAATTATTATTTCAAAATGAAATTGGAAATAATGAAAATATTTAAAAAAAACATAACTATAAAAATGTTTATTATTGTTACGCAATTGTTTATGTTACCCCAATTGATCCCATAATGTTATTTGTGCATTATAGCGTTTTTGTCTATACTTATACACAAGTAAGTTTTATCCGTTAGGTTATAGATATAATTAACTAATCATAAGCTTGTTCTTAGCATACTAATTACAATGCTATACTTAATTTTATTCAAGTATCGTAAATATAAGTTTACTTCGACATATTAGTTTTTTTCTTTATAAATATAATTGTATTAACTGTTCTGGTTAAAATTTTTTTCTTAAATAAGCTTTTCTTAGGCCCGCAACTACCGTATTAGAACTATTATATAGAACAACGTATTTTAAAATTTTAATTTGTCATATAGTACTCGTATATACTAAGTATGTTGTTTATATCAAACAATAGCAAACTACTAGGTAACGTTTATTATAGTTTTTACTTCTGCATCTAACATAAATTTTTAACAGTTACTTTTATAGTTTAGTTTTGCAGTGTACACCTTACAGTGTGGACGAAACATGATATTTTACTTAATTATGTATATTCTAATGCGTACAATATACTTTTATATATACAATATTTATACATTTTGCAACGCCTAATAAATTGTATTGTGGCTAAGTCACAGGCCGGTTAGGTACACAATTAAATTATTAATAAAGTGGAAAGATATAAAACAAAAAAATATGTAAGGTCCCCCGGGGCAATTGTAGTCATGGGGCAAATGTAGCTGTTGCAAATAACTCGTTACTGTTTCGTTTTTGAAATAACAAACATCTGTTGCTCAGTAGTGTAACTTTTGCCCTCCAGAGCCACATATGTTTATTTTAAAAACGAAAAAGTAACGAATTATTTAAAACTGTTACATTTGCCCCCTGGCTACATTTGCCCCGGGTGACCTTATATAAACAAAAAAGTTATGATGTTCAACTGGATAGTTTAAAAAAAGACATTTTATTTTGATTTGTTTTGAAGTCAGCTGATAAAATTTTACTAATAAAAGACTATAGATGACAGGGTGTGTATCTGAAACCAGTAAAATTGTAAAATAAAAAAAGTACATGAAACTGCATTAATACACTTTAAAAAAAAACTATTATTCCGTGTTATCCGAAATCGGATTTTTACATTGCTATGTATACTAACTAGGAAATGTATCCAAGAAAATGGTTGATTCAATTTAATCTTAGCTTTTCGGTGTATACAAAGAGAAATGGAAAGGTAACAACATATTTCTAAACATTGCGTAACAATAGCGCCCGTCCGTCCGTCCACGTTGCAACAGTGCCAAAATATCGGAAACTCGCTAAAAACAAGGTACATGGTAACAATTCCGTAAATAACTTATATAACTATAGTGTTAGTGACCATGAAAGTTTAAAACAATATATATTTTTAAACTTTTTAGCTTTTGTTCATTTATAAATTTATGTTTTTGTTTTTTCTGGCTTAATGGTACTAAAAAAGCTTTATACTATGCGATATTGCTTAATTAAATATGTAAGATATTGTCTACCCAATTGACAATAATAATTGCTATTCTTATATTATGCAACACTTCGCTAATAGTAAATATATTACGCAATATACACATTTAAATATTTGTTCTTGTAAAGTGGCGAGTTCAAAGCATTTTTTCTAATCTTACACACTTATAGACATAATAATTTTGTACAAATTTGTTTTTTTTCTTTGTATTCTATGCTGATGGTGTTTAATGATTGCATGATAGAGAAAATTTTAGATGATTCAGAAGAAAATAAGATATTAAATAAAATAAAATTGCTAGAGTGCACTATGTTACAATGTAGTACCTATTTCTGCAATGAAATTATACAAAGGACAATGTTAAAATTGGCCTAAGAACCAACACCAATTTTTGATAATTGGCATTTGGCATTTATGATAATTCTAAATACATTTTTTGGGATAATTATCAGTATTTAGATTGTGACGGACACTTCTAGTTAAGTAAGCTAAATTAAAAAGTTAAAAAATAATCTGAGTCAATAAATATCATTTTATGTGTATAGTCTATGACAGCGCTGCAAACAAAACACTCTTTCTTCCTTATGCCGGCACTTTACTTGGCTATTCGTATTTGCTATTTTGAAAACATGACATCAGCCTGTCCTTTTCATTCCTTATTAAGCATGACAAGGACAAACTGTTGTTGAAGGGCCGGCATAAAACGCGATACTCTGTGGTTGTTGTGCAAGCAGGCAGTTTGCATCTGTGGCATTCGTGCATTCCAAAGAGTAGTATAATATACAGGAAAGTGCATTCTCGTTTCGGATTATCTGTTGTGTGTGTTTATTTGCGATTGTTTTTCCTTTAATTTAACTATTTCGACTATCTAATGTGCCATCGATGTTACCAAAGAGCAGAGACCTTATTACCAAGTGCTAGTGAACCTGTGCCACAACATCCTGAGAGGATCATACTGCCAAATTATTCAAGAACACCTGATACACATTCACGCTGCATATTTACACAATATACATGTGATATACAAATAAATACCATATACAATATTGTTAAAAATAGTCAATAAATAAGAAGCAAAACTACAGTTTTTATTTTATTCATGATTCCTACCTATCCAAGGTTTTCCTAATAGTTATTCTTTAAAATCACACCGAATAAAATGAATTAGTTGTAATATTAATTCACTTCATACTAAGTTCATAGGTTGACCTATGTTTCATTGAATACTAAACATAACCTCAAAAAACATTTAGTTTTTCTAATAATTTAAGTTCTCAGACGTGTCCGTCAATAATCTTTGTTTTTACATTCACTTACGATTTCGAACCTAGAAAATAATATTTCATGATTGTTGGTTCTTAGGCTAACTATGTATGGACTCTGAACAATGTCCTTTTAATATTCCTAAGTGCTAAATACATTGTAGCTAACATTATTAAAATTAAGATTAGATTTTGGGCTTATAATAAAAAATATCAATGGGGATTTTCACTTTATGTGAATAGGCAGGTATTCTTTTTTTTATTTGCCACGAATACATTCCGATTCTACTTAGAAAACGTATTTGAAGAAAAATTCGTGTGTAAATGTTTAGCCGTCTGAAGTAAAATTATGACTGTGTTTTAAATCGACTTCAAAAAGGAGGAGTATATTTTATTTTTATTTTTGTTGTTCGCGTACATCTCCGAGATGGGTGAACCGATTTTGATGAGTCTTTTTATGATATAAGCTTGAAATAAAAATATTCTAAGCAATCGCCTGCTTAGTTCGGAGATAGCATCGAGAGATCTTCTGTGCTTCGGTACCTGATGCTGTGATCACGTGGCCATTGTGTTGCTGAAAATGATATAATTGATATTTTAATATTGTAAAGCGACAAAGGCTATCGACATCAACTTCACGAAGAAATCCATGGCGCTACAGAGCAATATTACCATGCTCGGTATGGAAGTTCGCTCCGACCTGAATCCAAAGGACTACATCGAAAGTTTGATAAAAACAGCCTCACGCAAAATCGGAGTCCTGAACAAGGTGCGGCGTTTTTTCACGCCCGAGCTACTGTGCTCGTTGTATAAGACGCAAGTGCGATCCTGCGTGGAATATTACTCGCACCTCTGGGATGGCTCCGCTAAGTACTTACTCGATGCCTTGGATAGGTTGCATCAGTGGCGATGAAGAGGTAACTAAGAAACTCGAGTCTCTACAATTACGCCGTGATGTGGCATCATTAAGCGCATTCTACTGATTATACCACGGCGAGTGTTCTGAGGAGCTATTCTCGCTTATCCCTCCATCACCTTCTCTTGAGAGGACCACGCGCGTTGGCCTACGTTACCACCGACTTACTGTGGCCATTGTTCCTACACGAACAAAGAAATTTGGTAACTCATTTCTTTGTCATACTATGTGTAAGTGGAATTCTTTACCCGCGCACGTGTTCCCTCCTTCCTATAATCTGGGGTCCTTTAAGAGAGACGTGAAGAAACATTTTTGCAGGCCGGTAAGGTGAGGATGGTTGCTGTAGCAGTTTATAATTGCTGTACCAGCTATCTTCGCGTTTGGACTTTATCACCACTTAACATCAGGTATCACATATAAAAAAAAAGTTATAACTTTTATTTACAAAAAAATTACTACTTGATAAGAGTCGTATTACTACCACAGCGCCCAAACTTTTCATGAATTTTAAGTTCTTAGAACGCTTCAGAATCTTTTGTAGGGGATTCATATCATAGCTGTAGATAACCCCTCATTATACACTTCTGGACACATCTATTGCCCCACCTTGTATTTTCAGTTTCGTTTGGTTCTAGCTAAAATTTTATATTAGGTCGAGCAAAAAGTTTTTATGCAGTTTTGAACCTGGCACATTCACAATTTCATTCAATAGTCTTTTTTTGAATTTCGAACACAGAATTTAAAGAAACAAAAGACAATTTGGAGCCTGTTTGTTGATATCAAACAATCGAATACTAAGAAAACTTGGTTTTATTGGTTTACTTGGATTTAATTCTTGAAAAAGTGATTGATATCTTTGGTTTTGCAACAAACATTACTTATTCTTAACATTAAGGTGAGGTTCTATCAATAATCTATGGATACTTCACCTGAAGTCGCCGCCCAAGCTGTGGCACTTATTCAGGCCGGACACAGCCAAAGAAACGTGAGTGCTCAACTTAATTTAAGTCGATCTACGGTCCGAAATGTTTATCGGAGGTACCTAGAGACTGGCGGCTTTGATCGTCGCCAAGGAAGGCCACGATCTCGGGTCACAACTGAAAGGCGGGATCGATTCATCGTGACGACCAGCTTGAGAAATCGTCACCTTACCTCCATTGAGATACAAAAACAAATTCGCGACTTCCACGGAGTATCTGTGAGCGCTCGAACTGTTCGGAGAAGGTTAAAAGAACGCGATATGGTACCACACAAGCCAGCTAACTCAAAAAAAAACTAACGCGAGCCCACCGAACAGCGCGCCTTCATTTCGCACGCAGTCATTTAAATTGGACACAGCAAAATTGCAGCCGTGTACTCTTTTCTGATGAGTCTAAAATTGTGTTACATGGCAATGATGGAAGGAAGAAGGTCTACCGACGTAACGGAGAGCGTTTCGCACAATGCTGCTTTGAAGAGAGGGTTGCTTATGGCGGTGGCTCATGGACTGTCTGGGGCGGTATATCCGCGAGCGGCAAAACTCAACTTGAGGTTGTTACAGGACCACGGCTGCCAACATTAAATGCTGAAAGGTACATTGGTGAGTGCTTAGAACCTCACGTGATACCATACGCGGACTATGTGGGCCCAAATTTCCTTTTTATGCATGATAATGCAAGAGCCCATGCGGCCGGCATCGTCAGGGAATATCTTCGGGATGTGAACATCACAGTTATGGACTGGCCAGCCAGAAGCCCAGACATGAACCCCATTGAGCACATGTGGGACGAGCTAAAAAGACGTGTTAGGGATCGTCAGCCAGTTGCCCAGACGATGCAGGAGTTGAAAACTGCCATAGAAGAGGAATGGGAGATGATCCCTCAAAATTTCATAGAGCGGTTGATAAACTGTATGCCTAATCGTATGAGAGCTGAGCCGTAGATGCCCATGGATGCAACACGCGTTATTAAATTAAACCTTTATTTGATAAAACATGTTTTTTATTCAAAAATCAATTGCCTTTAACAAGGCGCATATCCGACTTGTTAGGCGTAGCTCCATGTCGTATGGTATTCTGAATTCAAATTTAAAACAATACGATCGAAAAAGATGGTAAAATGTATCAGGTTTAAAACTGCATCAACAGTTTTTGTTCAATCTAGCAATCATATTTCGGTAGGGGCCATCGAAACCTAAACTCTAAGGTGGACCAATAGATGTGTCCAGAAGTGTATAACAGTTGCATTAATAACTATTAAATACAAACTACTAAAACAAATTTATCATATTTTTTTTAAGCGGTTAACTGCTTGATCTATAAACCTAAAGAACATTTTATGAGAACGTATTCTACTCCTGCAAGATGTCTGGGTTCGAATAAGCGTAGAAATACTTAGAAGCAGCCAATATTAGCTTTGACATTTTCCCAACCATGAAAAAGATGTCGTTAAGAAGTATAGATTCAAAGCATTTAGCAAACAAACATTTAAGACAACATATAATAACAAAACATGCGTAAATAATGCCCATTCCATAAACATACAGTTTCTAAATTTTATCTAAATACATAGGAATTTGAATATCTATAGGATTTAACCACATATTTAACAATGTTTCAAATTTTACTGTAGAATATCTTACATGCCATGTATCTAGTTTTAGGAACACGCTTTTTTTTAAAGTTCTTTTGTGCTCACTCGAAGTACGCGCATTAAAAAAAACTGCATGTTTGTAGTAGTTCTTATGGCATGCGATGACGAGAGACTTGTGTCCGCGGAGGAAAAAAGTCCCGGAATCTTGAAACAAAATGTCCGTTGAGGACTTGTCACGGACTCAACGCACACGGTGTGCGAACATTTAGAGAAGCGCACACTATGAAAGTAAGTATTCTCAGATTAAATTGTGTTTAATGAACATGAAGTTTAAGAAAAAGAGAAGACATTTTAAATGAGAATACTGGGTTCATTGCTTTAAATTGGATAAAGCGCGCAACGCGGAATAAAGTTCGCTGTACGAGTAGCTGTGCCTTGTCACACGATTCGGCCTTCATTTCGGGGATTCCCGCGTACTTTTGTCCTGTCGGGTCTCTCGGTGTCCTTGGACGTTCCGGAGACTTTTTGTATGCGGAATTTTTAATTTTTTGTGTGCGTTACTCGGTGCAGTTGCAAGCGATCTATTTTGGCGGACAAAAGTCCCTCGTCTACACAGTCCATACACAGTGAAGCTTGCGTGTGTGAATTCAATTTAACAATGCCAACTTCTTTATTACGCAGTAGTAAGATTGTTATTCATCTAAATCTGAAAGCTTCTAAGAAAGGAGTAAAGTGCATCCGATACCTATTTCTTGTGACACTTTTTCTGGACATTCTTTCTTTTGCATGCAATACTTTTTTTTGAGCGTGACCTGTGCGAATATCGTGCTGGAAAGGAACAAAATTAGGAATAAAATAGGAGACACATTAAAAGAATATAATGTAGTTTTTCAAAAATCAGGCAAACATCCCATAATCTATTAATTAGTCCTCATTAAAAACTAGGTTTTTGTATTATGCATCACCATCACGTGCAATCCTATTGAAAAGAAACTATGTAGATACTAAGTAAGACCATGCAATTTAAATTGTTAAGAATTCGTGCGTTGTGACTGAAAGTATATTATTTTAAATTGAAACACATTTAGAACATAAGTGTGAAAGAAAAAGTGATTAAGAATCTCGTCGTTTCTATTTTTGAATACCTGTGTAATGCATATTGCGATACATGTCGGGGCAATTGCTTGAAACCTGAAACAAAAAGATTTTATTTTATAAAATAATAAGAATAATTTGTGTTTCGAATTACGGAATTGAAAAGCAAACAACTGAATAACTTAGGCACACTTGCACCAAAGTTATTACTTGAAATTTTATGAGAAAAGAAACGTACAGTCCGTACAGAGAAAGAGCTTCATACATCCGTTCCGAATCCGAAAGAGTTTCATTACTACAAGCACCATGCGCGTGTGTGAGTGAGCACTGGCTCATGTACGCAGTCACACGTCAGTGCCAGTGCTCAAATGCAGGGCTCGCAGAAAACTCGGGGCGTATTTGTTTTTGTTTCAAGTTTTGAAATAATAAATAGTGTTTAAAAAAATAAGATAAATATATTTTACTATACTGACTGTGCATATTAAAAATAATAGAATGAATATGAACATATATAAAGAAAAAATAGTATAAATAATATTTCTAGAAAAAAAATCTTTAGATTTAAACATCTGGCAGTTAAAGGATGATTCACGGTACACCATGTCGCCACCGGGCCGGGCTCCACGCGGTAGCACGTCCAAAGTGCACCTGCCGGGTCAGTCATTCATGATACACCGGGCTGTCCACGAGTATTCTTTGCATGGCCGTGTGTGTGATAAGTGTTTTGTGTCAGTTTTGTTTTTTTTTGGGCCGGACCGTGCCAGAGCCGGGAAACGATACCCACCGACATTTCAACGCCATGCCCCGGCCGAGTTCCGGCGGCGCACGGCTGGGGCACGGCCGATTCACGGTTAGGCATGAATTACTTCATACAAAAAGTATACCATAATGTTTGTCTTTGCCCCGACGGGGGCACGGCCCGTTTGCGGCACGGTGTGGCGTGAATCATCCTTAAACGTATAAGTACATATAGCAAAGATCATATGTTTTTTAATTATCATTTAGACTTCACTAAGTAAATAGTAACTTTGCTATGTATTATTTACGTTTTTTGTGTGGTCAATACACCTGCATAGATAGATACCACTTTTTACATATACTTCGGAAGAAATATTTTGTTAATTGATGGTGAAAAATTTTTACTTTACGTACTTAACTCGTAAAACGGTTCGTTCCAAAAAATAGAAAACGTAATTTTTGTTGATTCCAACTCAATTTGAAACCAGATGTCAAAGCAATATTTTTATAACATGGTGCTGACCTGATGATGGAGGTTTCTATTAAATAACGCAACCACATCGTGTTGGGGCTTGTTTTATTTGGCTTGGCAAAAATTTCACGATTAATTAGATCTAGAAACAAACACGGTCAATATTGACTTACTAATACGCTTACATGATTGTATACTTATTTGATAAACATATTAGTGCTTTACATTAGATTACTTAAAAAAAAACTTCAACATATTATATTTCGAATTTATAATTAAAGAAAAATACTTAAAACATATTATTGTTTGAAAATATAATAGTAAAAAAATAGGTACTTAGACTAATTAGTAAAACTCTTTTATGTAAATGTATAACAATTGATATTAAGATATATTTGAAACGATTTGTTTATTTTAATTTATCCTCATGTGTCAACCCTACCAAAAATGAAAAATTATGACAGCTCCATAGAAGCTTTTCTCTGTACGTATCTCTCTTTACACATGTGCTTGAAATTGCAACTAAACCATTAAACAGATGGCATATATAGAGTGAAGTTTTAAACAAAATAAAACTAATAGATTTAATAAGATTAATAAAAGTGTTCCACTTAAGCACGTTAGCGTTTATTCAAAATTTGAAAATCTTTCAAACGAACTACAGCTGCAATCCCATTTCGCGTATAATAAAATTCTTAAAAGAGATCATTTCCTTTGATACTCAAATTCCAGTCTTAATGCAAGCGACACCGCTCCCTAAGCCACAGTGCACCCCGCATCAAATTAATTAGCAGAGACCGACGCAGACGTAAATTATATTTTACGCTTCGTTGGAACAACATCGTCTTAGTGTAGGATTTGTTGACGATTTATCGTCACCAAAGAGTATGACTGCGTTGCAACGCGGTTAACTTGATATACTTGATGACAATTATATGCAGAACTTATAACCCGCAGCTTCGTCCGCTCCGTAATTGGAAAGTATAATATAAATAATTAAGAAAATACGATTGCCAAGAAACAAAGAAGTGGTCATTGTGGTTCCCTTACTGAAATGTGTTTTTTATTGTTTTGGACTTGATATATTTTTTTTGGTTAACTGCCAGTGTTAACGGTATGTACGAGTAAGTACGTATTTTACGATTGTAACGATATCTTTTAAATCCAAAACCGTTAACATGTTTAGCAATTATTATGGATTAAAGTATCACACATCCTAATACACACATAAACCTTGAAAAGACTTCACTCCTTTTTGGCAGTCTTTTTAAAATAGTCTGAATTTACATATTTATTTGCCTATTTTCTGAGGGTGGGGGAAGGCGAAAGACAGGAAGACCACATGCTGGGATTACTCAAAAAACTCAAAATTCTGAAGTAGGTATGAACACGAAATTGCGGGCAGTTATTTATAGGTCATAGCAGACATATCAATAAGGATCAGTATTATTTATATGAAACACCCTACTGCAACGCACACTAATCGGAATCGAAACGCAATCGCCTCGCATCGGGAAAGCTCGTCTCCGATGCTCATACGGTAACGAACTCTTTCCGAGTTGATATGTGTTCTTTAAGATAAATGTTTATAGGGACCAAAACCATACCAAAACAAGATGTTAATAATAATAATAATAACATTTATTTCAGATTATTCATCCATAATGGTTAGTAACAATTATGCTTACAAATCTAGTGTTAGTAAATTGAATTCATAAAATAAATAAAATCAAAAAACATTTTAATAATAAATAAAAATAAAATTAACGACTAAGGAGTCACCGCCACTGTATGCAGATGGATCCAGCGCATAAGCAGCGGTGAATCCCAGCGGACGAAACTTAATAAGTGTTACTATATACGTAGACTTACTATACATCCGATAGAAATATGACAAACATGGAATATCCTACATTTTTCTTGTACACAAGTTTTTTATCAACTATTTTCTCTAGAATAAATACATTTTAACAAACAATAAGAGACTTTACAATACTTAATATAGATCTCAAAATAAACAAGCAACTACATATCTAATATCATTGTTAATTACAGCAAACTTAACAGCTTAACTTGCAGTTGCAAATCTGTGGAAGTTCAACCTTATCAATGAGCATATTGCAGGTGGGTGGACTGTTGAACAACGTAACGAACGGCTGAAGTTTCCAGAAACAATGGACTATAAAAACTTCATGCGATGCTCTACCACATGAGTAATTGAGGCACAGAGGAGACAAAGCATTATGCAGTGAACTTGATGGAGTGAGCACTGGCGGCCTGTAGGCTATTTGACAAGTTTTTAAAACGTTCTTACGTTTTTTATTAGTGTGTAGCAACTCCATATTTTTTTTATAATTCTATTGCGTATATCCACAGAACACAGAAAGAGGTTAGAAGGACCTTGTGTGCGGGGCGAGCACGCCATAACTTGACCAAAACTTGGTTCTGATTGCGTCGTTGCTCTCGGGTGTGAGCGTTGATTGGCCATTATCTATTAGGTGGAAGTGTAGTGGGGGCGAGTCGGCGATATCGGTTCCCATACAAATGGTTATGATCATCCTTGTAACTTCTTTCTGTATTATGTGCGTCTCTTCTAAGTAAAAATACGAAAATTTAAATTCTGTTTTCAATTGAAAACAGAATTATGGCATTATTATGCCACGGAAACGTTTGTCCAGCATAGGCCTCTTACAGGCAGGTGGTACTTCGACAGCACGTTTACAAGCAGGTGATGTCATTTTAGGTTCCGCCAATCCTATGCGTTTTTGGTTGCGTGCAAATAGATTAAAAATACTTTTCATCCCACCACCTCGGAAAGTGTAATTTTGCGCTTCGAAATCTGGCTGGAAAATTCTATTTTATTCGCTTGAGCGGCAAAGTAGATTTGAATTTAGAACATCACATATAATGAGTACTCAATATAATTGTAAATTCAAAACGTCATTAAACCTATTTAATGTAACCTCTATGGTGCCAAATTTATGATTAGAACTTTTTAAATTGTGAAAAAATTTAAATTTGGAACCTTCTTGGTTTCTTTGTTTTATTTGCGTGCTTCGCGCCATTCTAGTTTTTCACGTTTTATTGCTTAAATATTTTGTCATTATAAATTGTTTTCTTTTTCATTTTGTCATTTCCTCGCTGAGGTGGGATGAAAAGTTACGTATTGCACTCGAGTGGAAAGATTTTTCACCTTGTGCTCGTTTGTTTCCCTCGCTGACGCTCAGGATTCTAATTTAGAATCACTCGCTGCGCTCGTGATTCAACTTTAGAATCCTTCGCTTGCTCGGTCATCCAAATCGAGCACGCGGTTAAAAAGGAACTTTCCACTCTTGTATAATAAATAACTATTAATATTTCAAGATTTTTAGTAATATTATCAACTACTTTTTTTGTCAGAATAGCGAAATCGATCCCAATTACCATTCATATTATATATACAAGCCAGGCCAATGAGGAGCTCGATGACACGGGTGGTTAGCGCGTTCGGCTGCGATTATTGAAGTTAAGCAACTTTCGCAGTGGTCGTTCATTGGAAGGGTGCCCAAAAATCTTCTATCTCGAGTTCCTCCCTACTTTGGAAGGTTCGCTAAGCCGTTGGTCCCGGCTGCATCTTCAGTCGTTAGCACCCGCCAATTCACACTGGGCCCGCGTGGTGGATCATGGCCCAATCTCCCTATTCCATCCATAGGTTGGCCTGTGCCCCAGCAGTGGGGACATTAATAGGCTGATGATGACACAAGCCTATAATTGGTACTTTTTTCATATTGTCAAATAGCCAATTGTATGAAGCTTTGTGTCTGTGATTTCTTTACTCATGTGGCGCTGCTGGGGGTTGTTATCAAAAGCGTGTGGCCAAGTTTAGAGAGCGCAATAAACGTGATATAACTGAGGTGTAGTGGCGTAGTAACCGCATTTTGGTAGTGAGATAAGTTCATTCATAGTATAGTGGGGTCAACAGTAGGCTGTTCGAACATTAAGATACTAGTTTTATGGGATTTATATGGGATAGTGTGGATTTTTGTACTACCAATGACTGGTGAAAATTTCACTTTTTTTTACAAGCCTAGCCCCACAGTAAGCACTATAACGCTTGTGTTATGGGATACTAGGGTAACGGATAGTTTACATATACTGTACATATATAAGTATATTTTTATAGAAATACATATTAAACACCCATTACTCTATTATTAATAACCGCCAAATAAAACTATGTATATACATTATAATTTTATTTGGCGTATAGGAAGAGTATACCTCGCACATTTGAGGTTTGTTACTGCTATGGGACCTAGGCGGCTAAAATAGCAATATTTGTATGAAATACCTAAATGTGTTTTCATCTAAGTGGTCTGTTTTATGCTTTCATACAGAATGAACAAATTAGATGCTTCCTGGATTTGGTTAATGTTCATTTTATGTTTAATGAAATAAGTATATGTCATTTTCACACTAAAGATTTTTAAATGAACATTTTTTTTTGCAACTGTTTTTTGTTGTCGTACAGAACTGACAAATTAGATGATTCTGCAATTTAATTATTGTTCAATTTATGTTTAATGAAATAGGTATAATATAATGTTTATACTAAAGATTTCTAAATGAACTTAAATTGTAAGGAACAATACATATATTTCAAGCCCAGTATTTTACTGCAATTATAATTTAAAACGCAAGACGATGTACTTTACTTTTTCTTATTCGGATTGAAAAGCAAATAGGATGGAGAATTAAAGGTAGGTGGAGAAGTTTGATTATGTTTTGTTTGAGTTAACTCACTATAAATATAGTCGGTCTTTGGATTGTTGACCAACAATACACAATATTCTATATCTTCCATATTATATTCTAAAGAAAATTTTACTAGAAAAAGTTCCACGCGGACCAGGCAGCAGACGGGACTCGAACCTGCACCTTTCGCTAACCGGGCGAATGCACTGACCATTATGCTACCGCGGCCCTGATGGCCTGATTGGAAATTTTTCTAGTAAATTTTCTTTAGATTTAAGCATCTAGCATTTAAATGCTTAAAAAATAAAAAATATAAATATCATATTCTATATATTTATAATATTCTACATATACATATTCTTTATCATATCTGAGTGCCTTGTTTGTTGAAGTTTATGTTGGTCCGGATCGTTCTGTGGTGCAGTGTCTGCACAGGTCTCGCGCTGTTGTCTTCTATATCATATTCTCTAACATACCTGTGTACCCTGTTTGTTGAATCTTATGTTTGTCCGGACCATTCTGTGATGCAGTGGCTGCACAGGTCTCGCGTTGTTGTATTCTACATCATATTCTCTAACATACCTGTGTTCCCTGTTTGTTGAAGTTTATGTTGGTCCGGACCGTTCTGTGGTGCAGTGGTTGCACAGGTCGCGCGTTGTTGCCCAGCGGGGCTTTCGGGGTCAGCTGGGAGCCTTGCATCAGCTGCCGGAGCGCATACATCTATCAAGGAAAAATCGAATAAACATATTATCTAAAAAGAAATTAATCCCTATTTCCCTCGGTTACGATATAACTTAAGAAAGGCTTTATCGATTTCATTTTTCTTTTTTTAAAGTTTGATAACGACGCTTGTTCATGTTTTCTACCCGGGCCGGTGTCTGCTAAGCTTGTTCACAAGCACAGTTTGTACGTTTGTACCGAGTCCAAACCGTCGCTGGCGCCGGTGTCGTAAACATACCTCCAGTATCTTTTACCTAACTGGCGACCGGACCCAGGTCTAGACCCGGAGGAAAATTGTCTCGTTAACTACCCTAGTACTTTGAAGAAGGTTCTTACGGAAGAAAAGGAAGGAAGATGGGCGGAAATTTTGAGAAAACTTGATTTACAACTTTAACCTACAGATGGCAGATGCAGTCGGATTTTAGATTTTTTTTTATTGTATAAATATATTCTACACTTCTCCTATGCTATCCTACTAATTTATAAATGTGAAAGTTTGTAGTTTTGTAACTCTACTTAATCACGCAAAAACAGATGAACGAATTTGGATAAAATTCGGTACACATACGAGTTTAGAACCTGGAATGAGACATACTTAGAGCATACTTACTTATTATTCCGAAAAAATGCTCAAAAACCTAAAGTTAACGTTTACTAAGCAGTAGGCGGCCGCTAGTTAGCAATAAACAATGAAATTACTTGTCTTTAGAGATTCATCTAATATTTGGTTAGTCTAGGGAATCAACATGCGCAAACGAGGTAGGCAGCAAATTATTTAATAAATATTTGATGAAAATTACTTCCAAAAGTGGATATATCTCACCTCCTGTTTAGTTATATATAGGGGTTTGTTGAAGATGATCCACACGGCCGTCTCCCAGCAGCCAGGGTGGGTGGTGGACCCCTCGTACGTAAGATATTGTTGTGTATCCGGCAGCAGAGAGCTCAGGGGCAGATGTTTGATGGGATACGAACTGCCTGTTGGAAGATACAAACAAGTATTTTTAAATAGCGAGACAGAAGGTACAAAAACAGACATCAACAATACCAGTGGTACATAGTGTAATTTTACTGTGGTACTCTATAAGGCGGAGACTACTTCCTTTTAACTCCGTGGGTATATATTGTTATGCCGTGATCATCCGTGGCCGAGTGCTTTGTACACCGGGGTTTAAGTTGACGCCTACTCGAGAGGTCACGGGGTGCGAATTTCGGTGGGGGCAGGTGTTGAATACGAGCATATTTGTGCTCCAGTCATGGATGTTTAATATGTGTTCCTATATAAATATACTTATATTATGTAGCAGTGTATTAATTCTATCCGTTTACCCTAGTATCCCAAAAGACAAGCCTACAGTGCTTACTTTGGGGCTAGGCTAGTGAGTGTTGAAAATATTTATTTGTCTTTATATATTTATCATAGCACTTGCATATCGGAGACATAACAAGGTATGGGTAACAATCCACTCATATGTTAGTGACCATGAAAGTTTAAAAAAAAATGGGTGCGTGTACTTATGTAGGCGCGTGAGAAGTTATCCTTCTTTGGCATCGTTTAAAATTAGTTTTTAATTGCATGCAAATAATTAATTACAATAAATTAATAAAAAGTCTGGAAAAGGACACAGTCAATAAAGTTCAGTTTTAATTTGAAAAAATAAATAAATAATCAAAATATTCAATTAAAATCGCTACTGAATATAATTTATTAGAACATATGTAATTTGCACTTGTATGAAACTCAAACACGTATTCCGAATATACAAACTAGAAACATGTGGATAAATATTACAAATATGAATACCTATAACTGTTACTTTATTACAAAAAATAAAGATGTGGTTTTTGGTTCTACTACACCAATGGTCAAGAGATGGCGCTGTAGTCTCCTGATAATAAATACTTTTGATATTATAAATATGAATACCTATAACTGTTACTTTATTACAAAAAATAAAGATTTGGTTTTTGGTTCTACTACACCAATGGTAAAGAGATGGCGCTGTAGTCTCTTGAATCGCGCTTTGGTTCCGTTGTTCCAGATTAATAAATACTTTTGATAGGCCTTCACAATGCAGTCGTTAGCACCCACTAAATAGAGATTCTATTTCTATTTTGTTGGTAGATTTTCTTAATGTGCGGTAAACACAAAAGTACATATAATTTTTGTGTTACAGTGATGCGCGCGCATCTTAAAATTTCACTCTCATCATTTTTTCATAACGCGCCTAAAGAAGTATAACTTCAAAAAAAATGTTTTTTTCGTCACTGGAGACCAAAGAACTGGCAAGCTACCTCGGACAAAGAATTAGTTTAGTTATTCAAAGGGGGAACGCTGCCAGTATCTTCGGAACCTTGGCTAAAGGGACACCTTTTAATAATATATTTTAGTTTTTATAGTATATTTTTGAAGGTTTTTAGTTTTAGGTTCATTGTTTCTGTATATATAATTATTGTAAATAACATTTGTGTAATAAATTTACAAAGGAAAATAAAAATTTGCCCTTAAAAAAATATAAAATTGTATTTTAATCTAACATACCTACCTCGGAACATTACTTTGTTAAAAGCATTTGTGACGAGTCTTAACTCCTTGTTCTTCTCTTTAGGCTCTCCAATCTATAACAATAAGTTGTTATGTATAGGAACCAGTCAGACAGAGAAAGTTGAATAAAAGAGATGTGATGTCACTGTTATGGGTATGGCAGAATACCAGTGCAGCAGGTATTTTACCTGTTGTGTATGCTGGAGCCATATCCAGTGTTGGCATCGCATATAATACATATTTTGTAGCTGCTTTTTGTTGTTGTTAATTTTACTTGTTCGTTTAGTTTTACTAAATATAATGTATGTGCTGTATATGTATGTGCTGTTAACGATAAAAACAGTTTTCTTTCAAGATGGCAACAAACTGATAGTTTTCAAGCCCTATTTGAATTGAACAAAGTTAACGCAACAATGGCATGTTGAACTTGCTGAAAGCACCTTTAAAAAGTTATATATTATTATTAAATTTCTTACTTGCACCATAAGGGAAATGCCGACGACGCCTTGGGATTTGTGTTGTGCCTCGGACATGTTGTGGTAAAGCTCCTTATTGAACCCATACAATTGGATCTGTTGGCAAAAATAATAATGATTAAACTTTGCATTTCGGAGAGTAGAGAGGTCTTTTTGATATCTTTGTGTAAGTCCAGGGTTGGCCAAGGTCCTGCCCGCAATGGTATTAAATTATATCAAAGGTAGGAGCAGTTTTTCTTTTCAAATATCGAACTTTAAATTCAAAATGTGAAATAAAACTAGTTTTAACGTTATTAACCCGTTAAAACTAGTTTTATTTAATGAGTGATGTGCGTGAAAACCTAAGAAACAAATATTAAAAAGTTAATTTATATCTAAGGAAAAGTTAACTAGCAAACCATAATGCTACCGCGGCCCTGATGGCTGTGTCGAAAATTTTCTAGTACTTCTTATTTAAACATCTAGCAGTTAAATACTTAAAAAAATAAAATATAAGTTTATTACAATACAATACAATACAATACAAAACACTTTATTGAACACCACAGAAAAACATTACAATAAATACAGAGCCATTTAAATTAAGTGTTACAATGGGCGGCCTTATCGCTAAAAGCGATCTCTTCCAGACAACCTTTGAATGGAGAGGATTAGAAGGAAGTGGGAGAGACGGCGGCGTAAATTTTAATGTAATTTATCAATATATACATAAATATACACATACATTCTATATTCATAAATATATATACATATATATATATAAACGTATAAACATACATACAAATACATACATAAATCTAGTCCAGTCGGTAGAAATTACAAAAGAGATTATAAAATAAAAAATATTACAAAGACAAATAGTGAGACTTCACGAGATTCTTGAAAATGTGAATCGATTCCGCACTTCGTATCGAAACTGGGAGAGAATTCCACAGCTGAACGGCTCTAACTGTAAATGAGTGACTGTAAAAAGTTTTACTGTGTACAGGAGTCATGAGGGTAAGATTCTCTGATGACCTAAGAGATAACGTGTTAGAAGTGTGAAGGAAATTAAAACATTCCTTAAGATAGCGCGGGGACTTAGGATTGAACAATATGTTGTAGAGAAGAGTAAGAATATGAGTATTCCGGCGAAGGCGAATAGGTAGCCACTTGAGCTGCAAACGAAATTGAGAAACGTGATCATATTTGCGCAAACCAAATATGAAGCGAATACAAAAGTTTTGAAGTCGCTCAAGCTTATTAAGCTGTTCTTCCGTGAGATCAAGATAACAGACGTCAGCGTAATCAAGAATAGGAAGCAGTAATGACTGCGCTAAGGTAATTTTGGTGGTGACGGGCAGGAAATTACGTAGTCTCCTAAGTGACGCTGCCGAAGCAAATAGTTTGCGACTGACCACTTGCATTTGTGGGTCCCAACTCAAATAAGTGTCGAACGTCAACCCTAAGTTTTTAACCGATGTGTTAAATGAAATATTATTACCAGCCAGTTCGATGCTGGGTAGTAACTTCCAATCGATTCTGTCTATCATCCTAGAACTACCTATAATTATGCTGGTTGTCTTAGTGGGATTCAAGTCCAAACCAAAAGATTTACTCCACTCTGTAATTACATGGAGATCACTATTAGTGGCTCTCACCGCGTCCTCAAGTTGACCAAGAGGTGCTTGGCGATAAATTTGAAGGTCATCTGCATATAGGTGGTAGGAAGAAGAAATATTGTTTGAGACAGAGTTGATTAATACAGCGAAAAGAAGAGGAGATAAGACGCCGCCTTGCGGAACACCGGCAGTCGTATCGCTCCACGAAGAAAATTTCTCTTCGAGACGAACGCGCTGCCTGCGCCCATACAGATAACTGTGAAGCCACTCAATCACTGATGGAGATACGTTAAGGGAGCGCAGCAATGCCAGAAGAATATCAAAGTTGACTGTATTAAAAGCATTGCTGAAGTCCAACAATGTTAATACCGTAAGGAGACCGTTATCCATCCCAAGGCGAATATCATCAGTCACTTTAAGCAAAGTAGTCGTGGTACTATGCCCAGGACGGAAACCGGATTGGAAAGGATTAAAGAGATCGTGGCGAGAAAGGAATATATTAAATTGGTTATGGACAAGGCGTTCAAGGACCTTAGATAGGAAAGGAAGAATAGAGATGGGACGAAAATCGGCGACGGATTGAGGGTTTGATTTTTTAGGGAGTGGAATGATTTGGGCTTGCTTCCAAACTGACGGAAATACAGCATTACAAATCGAGCTGTTAAAAAGGAAAGTAAGGACAGGAAGGATGATTTCAAGGATAGGTATCAACATGTTGCGACTGATGCCATCATTCCCCACAGCATTGGAAGAGATAGAAAGCATGCCCTTCTTAACGTCACATTCAGAGAATTGAGTAAAGACAAAAGGAGAGTAGTCAGGAATTGGTAACGAAGAAAGATAATTTAAAGTACTGGTCTTGTTAGAATCACTGAGACTAGAAGAGGAAGAAAAGTGAAGGTTGAGTGAATCAACGTTAATACTACTAGGAATAGATTCATGTCGGGATTTACCAATTCCAAGAGACTTAAGGAAATTCCAGACTTTTGCTGGATCTTTATTGTCGACAGAGACATGGATATGGCGACGTAAGGCATCCCTACACACCAAATTGCAGTAATTGCGAGCTCTTACATAGTTGGCTTTATTTAAATCAGTTGGACGACGTTTATATTTGCATTTAGCAACGTCCTTTTTGTGCATTAGGGCTTTAATGTCTTCGGTAAGCCACGGCGCTGGAGCGTGTTTGAGTTTGATGGGACGAAAAGGAGCATGTTTGTCATAGAGTTCAGTTATTATATGATTAAAAGTCTCAACTTGGTCGTCCACAGACACCGCATTAATAACCAACGACCAATCGGTATTTTGAGCGTCAGAGAGAAACGCGTCCCTATCCATTCCACCAAAATTACGCTGAAGAATGACTTTGGGTTTCAATTTGGGAGGACGAATTTTATATGACAAAAAAATCAAGTCATGGTAAGAGAAAGCATCGGCTGAACATTGGCCATGCTTCATGACAAGATGAGGAGAAGAGACAATTATTAAGTCAAGAAGTGAAGGAGTATTGTTTGGGGAATGATGGGTGGCACTAAGAGGAAGAATATGAAGATTACAAGAATTGATAACAGAATGAAGGGAAGCTGTACGAGAATCATTTTTCAAAAGACAAGTATTGAAATCGCCCATTATTATTGAATGGCTATAAGGTGGAACAATATCTCCTAAGAGATGTTCAAAAGAGCTAAAGAAGTTAACATTTAGAGACGGGCTGTAATAGACTCCGAGAAGGATTTTGGTATGTGACAGGAGAACCTCGACAAACAAATGTTCGCCAGCATTACCTGGAGGAGGCTGTGTGGAAGAGCTAATGATAGTAAATGGAATGTGAGTGCGTAAGTAAATAGCTACTCCACCACCTCGAGAGCCAGTGCGATCATTGCGTATTAGATGGAAACCGGGTAAAACATAAGATGACGAGGGCAGAGAAGGTTTAAGCCAGGATTCGGAGACTAATACAGCATGAAGGTTTTTATGGTTGAGAGACGCCAACATATCAATAAAATGAGCCGGAATACTTTGCGCATTTATGTGAACGACGTTAAAGTTTTTAGGGACATCAGAAAATTCACCATCGAGGCAGTCTGAAAGGGAAGGCATACTAACAAAACTAGTGTCAGTGCAATGGCTAGCAGGTGACAAAGATTGAAAAGAATCATTACTATCTAAATCTGAACTGGACATGGACTTTATAAATATTAACTAATAATAATATATATATATATAAATAAGATTAACAGATGGAACAGAATAAGCAAAAAATGCTTCATATGCTCCACCTGCCGGTTGAGTGGACAGAGCACGCTAAAAATAGTATAAAGAACCATTCACAAAATAATAAGAAAACAAAACATAATTAATTCAGTGCAGCTTCAAGTCCGTGGATCCAATCAATTTATTTATTTATAGTTATATAATTTTCTACTTTATTTAGGTTTGATTTTTTCTTTAGAAACTCAAACTACTGCAGTATTCATTAAAAAAACTGTTTATTAAACAATCTATATGGTTCTATTTTCTTTGGTGAGCAAAGATAAAATTACTGTCCATATAAACAATTATGCTTGCAAAGTAAGTAGGTATTGTTTACTTGGTGCTTACTTAGATTACTGATGATACTCATTGTAACTAAAATCTTCAAAACAAGAGCTAAATCAAAGAAAGAGTTTAAAATAAAAAAGGGACAAATATTTATTTTTTATATTTTTATTTATTTATTTGTATTCAGGCACCGTAGACCCATAGAAATATATACCTTATAGTCTAACCTAGATATGAAATATAAAATAATTACAAATTCTAATAATGTTGTTACGTGTCGGGATTGAGAACCTGGTCAGGTTAAATCTGTTTCCAGTATGTTCGCGGTTTTGGTTAAAGAGCGTTGGTGACAATATGTTGTTATAAACAGAGCTCAAACAGCGTGCGTATAAGTCGCGGCACGAAACTCTAGCGCTGACCGTTATTGCGGAAAAGTAAAAATTAAGATGTCTTGGGGGGAAATGAGGTGCGCGGGTGGGCATGCGTTTCGCCGATTGGCTCTCCAGTCGTACCCATGCGCAGCTATCCCTTCCGCGTTTTGTTCAGCGCTAGATTAACGTGACGCGACCTGTAGCCAGTGCTTGATTTAGAGTTCTGACTGCCCTAGGCTAGCTATTAATATGCGCCCTCATCTGACCCGTCCTACCTTTTCATTCACTTGCAAGTGCAACTAATTCAATTACAAGTACCAGATAGTCCAGTCAATGTAAGTTTTTAAACCTAACACTTTTAATCTAAAGAAAAGTTTACTAGACATCTAGCAGTTAAATGCTTAAAAATATAACTAGGTAATACCTATTTTCTTTGGAAACCGTGTTATTTTTATTTTTTTATTTATTGTCTATGTTTTAGTTCTTGTTCTTAGCAAAAATCTAAAGGTTGTAGGTGCTTACCCCCTTATTAATAAACAAGGAATAAGCTTTGACTTGTTACGCCGTGTTTTGTTCATATCACTCCAAAGCCATTTGTCATTTAATTGAATGGAATGGACAAAATATGGAGTAACTAATCTAAGCTATTTTTTCATTTAGGGAGTTAACGTCAAGCGCTCCTTGGAGTAATTTCGTTACCATTTTGAATAAACAGTAAATCCTTTCATTTCTCATGAGCTATTAATATCATGCTGTAGAGATTTTAAGTTTATAATATGTGCGAGCACTATCAACGTCATTAATTTACCAACACAACAATCTTAGAATATTAACACAATACTAATATCAATGATACGTCTAAAGACATATTTAATTGGGAACAAAGCACCCACTTAGCGAACCACAAAGTACTTTAATGCGAGTTGGAATTCTCCTCTGATATTAATATATTACTAGCGGCCGCCCGCGACTTCGTACGCGTGGGGTTACTTATTTGCACATACTTTTTGACCCCTGTTCACTGATCGTTCCCCATAGGTGATAGCGTGAAAATATGTAGCCTATATGTTGACCCGACTTCTTAATAATATTCGTGCCAAATTTGAAGTAAATCCATGCAGTACTTTTTGATTTTACCCCGGACATACATACAGACAAACAGACAAAAATTCTTAAAACTATATTTTTGGCTTCGGTATCGATTGTAGATCACACCCCAAGTATTCTTTAAAAAAAATATTCAATGTACAGTTTTGACTTTCGTACCATTTTATTATATGTTTAGATACAGAGATGTGTCACATTATGTATTTATTATGTACTTTTGCAGCGATTCGAACATTCAAACTAAACGGTAACGAATCCAAAGGTTTTCAATTGTGCCCGTTCCACGTAAGCCGGCCTAATGCCAACTTGGCGTACCGCAGCTTGAAATAATCAACTGATTGGACCGACTCGTTAGATGGGAACGTTCAAACGCAATAGATATTTAACGCAATTCCACTAATTGGCGGGAATTTTCTGGCGTCGAACTTTTGTGATCACACCCGAACTCCACTAATTAAAATCGATTTCAGCTATCCTGTCTATGGCGTCTGGGACATTGTTATTATGAAGATAACCTCGGTGTTGGGTATTATAGATTCATGAAGATTTATTAGTTATTAAATTTATTTGTGTTTTATTTTATTTTATTACCTAAAGTAACAATAGGGATGATGACTGTCTTCTCTTCTTCTATCAGGTAGATTAAAAAAAGTATTGGACACTTATTTTTTTGGTAATGGCGCTATTATATTTGGTCGTTAGCATGAATACGAGTGCCAATGGAATTCGGGTAAATCCTGTATTCGGGTAGTTTTCGTTTTGGATACCCGACACCGTCTTCCAGTCGGTATTGCAGTGTAAATATTGCTTCGGGTGTCCGAATTCGAGTAAAGACTTTTGTGTACCCAAATACGGGTCAACGACTAATTGTAATTGCGGCATTATACACATATAGTATGGCGTCACGTTTTAGTACACGATTTTTACTTCGAATCGTCGCGAGCGCCCACTTCTAAACATTGGCGTGCTTTATCTCTGTAATTATTGGTTGATTGACAAAAGAAATAAATATTATTGTCAATTATTTCCTGATAATCTAACTGACGGACAACTTAACCCTGACAACGTTAGCTTTACCCTGTCATCATCCCTATTTCATGATCTATACTAATAGATCTATAATAATAAAAAGAAAAACCAATAAACCAAAAATTACTTACTGATATAAAATAAATCACCATTAGAATAACACATTATCATTTGTGTTCACTATGTTACATAGTCTTTATTTTATCGCGTTCTAATAAAGTTCCGTGCATAGCAGAGCCGGGACTAACAAACTCATATACTTATATATCTATGTATGTACAAACTTTACACAGTAACAAAAGACTTTTCACGTATTGGTTTGGTGAACTAAATACATACGAGTAGCTTATTCTAGTAAAAATTTCATTATTAAAAATTACGTTTATAATATTTATTCTGCTATTTATTCTTTCAAATGTTTAATACTTGTAAAGGCATTTCGTTTAATATTGTAGGTTACTAACAATGCGAAGAGATGGCGTTGACTTGCACCCTAAGAATTGCTAGAAAAAATTCGACATGGCCATTAAGGTCGGGGTAGCATAATTGGTCAATGCTTTGGTGTGGGTTCCAATTTCATCTGCTGCCTTGACCACGTGGATTTTTTCTAGTAAAATTTTCTGTAGATAATGTAGCAGTAAATGAAATAACAATATAATAAAATGAATAGTGTTGTATAGGATCGTAGATCTATGTATACTCGAAACAAGTGACTCTGATTATATATTTGATAGATGCTGCACAAAATTCGCTTGTTCAAGAAGAAGCGGAGAGGAATAAGTTAAATCTCCGAAGACCAATAACGAAGCCCGATAATGACACCCGACTGGGAGGTGTTAATTTGTAACGGATACGATCTCACGGAGTTCGGCCGAGACGGATATTTATTGTCACCGCCGCTTGGCGCGTGAAATTCTACTTGGTCTTTTTGTGTTTGTTTAAATTACGACAGTAGCTGTTACCGTAGATGCGAGAAAACGTATAGAAGGTTTTTCTCTAGTCCAGGAACTGTACGTCGATTCTATGACATGCGAGATTACTTTTGATTTTGATAATTCGCTTTTTTGATAGTACAAGGTTTTCCAATAAGTACAGGGTATCTTTGATAGCCAATAGTGAACATATTAGATCATATATTGGCCCAAATTTTTGTTAGACACATTATTGAAATTGTTCGGCATTTTATACCAGTCAATATGGAGTTGAGCAACGCGTTGAAATTATTAATAAGTATTGTCAAAACGGCAGTTCAATTCATCAAATGTTTTGTGCGTTATGGGAAACTTGTTCTTAACGTAGTCATCTTAAGGAGTCTATTCGTCAAATAGTGAAATAATTTTATTAACACACAGCAGATGCAGCAGGGACCAACGGATTAAAGTGCCTTCCGAAGCACGGAGGAGCTCGAAATATTAAGATTTCGGTCATTCATCCAATGACCATTGTGAAAGTTGACTTTCATGATCGCAGGCTAAATGGGCTAACCACGTACCCATCGAAATACTTACTGTATACTGTAATATTCAGTGGTTATTCAATTTCAGAAAGTGGTCTGCCTCATTGAACGCAGCCGTCAGAATGGCAACTATGCGGCAGGACCCGTCGCAGACCGCTAACTATTCGCGGACTCCAACCTGCCTTCGATCCAACATTCCGTTGCGTAATGAATGGATTCATTATCTATTCCGTAAATACGTTCAATTATGGAAATGACTAGTTTTTTTGTTGGCCGCTCACAATAAATTGGATTATAAAGAGCAAACAGTCTGTTTACGTAACGAAATGACGTTTATAACATAAGCCGAGACTTGCAAAGTCAAGGTCGTGACAATGGCACTATTTGACTTTATTGATCAGAAAAAAACTTGACTTGAACTTGTTAGTCAATGATATTACACATGTTAGTAGTTTGTGAATTCTCTGGGGGAGCCTTTTGCAAAGCATTTTATTTCTACTACATTATTATGGTATATGATTTCTACTACATTAATCTAAATTATAAGTTCCTTTATCGGAATTAACTATGATTGATGGCGAGCCACTGGTAAACAATAACCGACGAACTTATGAGGAGCTCTATGGTGCAAGTGGATAGCGAGTTCGGCTGCGATCGTAGAAGTTAAGCAACTTCTGCAGTGGTCGGTCATTGGATGGGAGACCAAAAATTTACTATCTCGAGATCCTCCGAAGCTATGTTAAGTCGGTGGTTCTGGCTGCATCTGCAGTCGTTAGCAATGCACAATCTCCTTATTCCATCAGGCTTGTGCCTCAGCAGTGGGGACATTAATAGGCTGATGATAATTATGATGACGAACTTACTTCTCCAGGAAAGGTGTGATGGTCGATTTGGTGTTCCGAGCCCCTGTTGTCCCCCATGCCGTAGTGGAAGTAGATCTCCTCAAACTGATATCTGTAGGACAGCGGCCCCCCACTAATGTTCACTTGGTGTTTCGAGTCTTTCTCCACCCTGAACACTAGAGATTGCCCAGTATTCTGCAGGACTCCGCTGACCTGAGAACAAGAAATCAAATTGTTATTGTGCAATTACAGTTGGCCGTTAGCCCGAATACGAGTGCTAATGGAATTCGGGTAAACGACAAAGTGTAAATGAACGGAGTCGAGTTCGTCCATATTCGGGTACTTTTCGTTTTGGTTACCTGACACCGTCGTGCAGACCGTATTCTGGTGTGGATATCGCTTCGGGTGCCCGAATTCGAGTAATGTCTTGCGTGCACCCGAACACGGGCTAACAACCAAGTGTAATTGCGCTATTAAGATAAGTAGGGTGTGAAAGATTATATGAAAGATTTATTTATTATAATATAATTATAATGACTGTACAAAAGGCGAACTTAATGCCATTAGGCTTTCTGTACCAGTCAACCGGAGAATTGTAGCAAACATCTAAGAGTGGTGGAGAGTGGTGCAAAAAAGAACTGAACAAGTGATTGTTCTTATATTAACGTACACCTTTAGTCTAGATAAAATATATATGATTATCTTTGTTTAATACATCTAAATAGATAAAAGAAGACATAAAGGAAAAAGAAGGAAGAAGAAGGAAATAAGGAGTGACTGAATGACTGACTGACAATCAAAGCACAGCCAAAGCCGTTGAATCTAGGGACTTTAACTTTGGCACGTAGGTTGCTTATGGGGCCTAGGGGTGCACTAAGATAGGATTTCTCCAAATTCTTTGGGGGTGAATTCGGAAAAATAGAAACACCCTTGGTGCACCCCTAGAGGCCCCTAAGGTTTAAAATAGGGGATGAAAGTTTCTATGAAAAATCTTATTTCTTCAAAACTTGGCACGGATACTTAACAAAATAAATTATAAAGGTTGTCATTTTTAGTTTTCCTAAACTTCTTGACCCTAAAAGGAAATTGAGAGGGTGTCAAAGTTTTATATGGATTATTTTTAACGCGCATTTCAATTAACTCGAAACTTGTCAAAGTTTCTGCTTGGGGTACTGAGCAGAGTACGTCGTTTGAGCTTTAAAATTGTGTTGCTCCTGAGGTGAACTGGACACTCTTCTTTTTATCACCTTTTATGAGAAAATAAGTAAATACAACTACTTAATAGTTTGAGCGTTCGATACAATGAAATTGGGAGGTAATATAATACTTTCATTCTCACTACTTGTGACACATTTTTTTTATAAAACCAAATTAAATTCGAATTCGAGTAATCAATTCAATTATAAACGAAGGCGAGATGTATGTATTTCATTTGTATTATTTTTCGCATTTTTTTTTATTTGCCTAGTGCCCGGTTGACGCTGTGACTTATTCATGAAATGTTCGTGATTGATCTTTTTGGCGTTGAAACTTTTACTAACAATGGCCATATTCCTGATTCAAATGACTTTTAGTCTCGGGGGATTAAAACGCTATTTTGGTCCCTATAAACAGAGAACGAAATATCTCTTTTCGAATAGATGTGATAAAAACTTTAATTGACGACCTCCGTGGCCCAGTGGTTGAACTCCTTTCAAGCTGTCGCCTACTCGAGAGGTCCGGGGTTCGGTCCCCGGTATCCCGGTGGAGGCATATGTTTGTGTGATGAATACGAGCATATTTGTAGTCTAGTCATGGATGTTTAATATGTATTTCTTTACAAATATACTTATGTGTATATATGTTTCAGTATATGTATTCTATCCTCTAGCATTTCATAACACAAGCCTACAGTGCTTACTTTGGGGCTAGGCTAATTGGTTTGAGTGTTCAAAACGTTTATTTATTTAAAAATAAATTATATTCTGGTGCATTGTAATGTCTCCCTTGTAATCCCTCTGGCTCAATGTCATGAAATAAAAAAACTTTACATGAAATAGCTGTAAGAATATTGCACTAAATTTGCGGTACATTCTATGTCCGCAATACCATATTTATTGACGCATCATAGAATGCAATCATCATACAACAAAATGAAAGTTGAATAATTCCTAAATGACACTTGAGGTATGCAAATTAATAAGCGCAAATCCTAGATGATTTTCAATAAATTTGATCAGCAGGCTTCGAAAAAGTCACCATAAAGAGCAATATATTAAGGGAACAGAGGCCGTTTTTGATTATCGTCACAACAAGTATCATTAATATAGAACAACGGTTTTGTGAGTTGGTAATACCAAACGAATCGGACTTAACGACCGGCGCAGCGGGGCAGATCCTATCAATCAATAGGCACACCTTGATTAGAGACTGCAACCTACTAAGCTTTCGAGTAGAGATGACATATTGTCCGCTGACACGCGAGCGGCGCGCATGTAAAGTTGTAAACATTTAGCTAGATGCGACTTTAGTGTTACCAATATTTTTTTTACATTTTACCTTAAAATGATATTGTGACATTTAAATCAAAAGAAAATTTTAGTAGAAAAATAAAACCAGTCGGTTCAGGTTTCAGACGGGATTTGAACCAGCATCTTCCGCTATTTGGGTTTCTGTTTTTGAATAACTGGATATTTATTCAAGGAATTTTTTTCTTAGATTTAATCATCTAGCAAGTTGTTAAATGCTTAAAAATAATTTACATAATTGTGGATTTAAAAATACCCTTGCTCCTCTAAATTAAGGATGGGAATTGGAGCTTTAATATATTTTTATAGAAGCAACCGCTACTACACCAGACGACACATCAGGGCTATAATACAGACTACTGAGGCCGTGACTGATGTCTCTTAGATGTTGTATTTTTGTGGGTAAGTATGCTTTTCAGTGGTATTAAGTAAGGATTTGTGTTTAGGTACGCAAAAGCTCTTCTTCCTCTTTCACTTAACTTTTATTTGCACTGATATTTATTGAAACAAATATAAATTCTGGGTTTTCGTTCTATTTGATGCTTTGTCAAGGTGTGAAGTAACGTTTACTACTTATCACACTAATATTATAAAGGCGAAATTTTGTGTGTGCGTGAGTGTGTATGTTTGTCACTTCTTCACGTCTAAACGGCTGGAGCGATTTTAATAAAATTTGGTATGGAGGTAGTTGATTCCCTGGATTAACACATAGGCTACGTTTTAATGCGAGATAAATATCCCTAATACACCGCGGGTAATACCGCGGGGCACAGCTAGTAACGATATAATTTGATCAATTGAAAGTAGTACCAGATCTGCTTTATCTATATCTGTGGTGTTAAAAAAAGATAAAGAGTAAAGGTGGGGCGCGCCCTTGTGAAGTTCTGAAACTGTTTATTATGTAAGTGATAGCGCTGAATATTTTGGATGGATTACCAGCAGTTTAAACTTTAACGATAGTGAAGTGTGAAGTGGGTTTGGTATATATAGGGTTATTTCGAAATGTAGCTTCGTAACACAGATACAGATGGGATGTGGCTTAGGTATATTGTATTTTTCACAATAAATATAAGGAAGATGTCATTGGATGTAAGTGTCGCCGCACACGGGCCACCGACCACAACCACAAACGCCGCCACCGGCATATTTCTTGTAGTTTTCATACATTTTATATGGACTCGCCACACACGGTACGCCGGTGGCCGCCACACGCTACAAATCGTCGTTGCTCGCTTCTAGTGGCCCGCACCGGCCACTTAATGCGCCGATACAAAACGCTGCCACACGTCACTCGCGCGATTCCCCACCCCTCTCTCCCTTATCTTAGGCGGCCGCTGTCGCGCGCTTCAGCTACTTTAGTAGCCGCTTCTAGCTTCTCGTGGCGGCGTTTGTGGCTGTGGCGTGTGGCCCGTATGCGGCGACACTAAGCCTTTTAGATGTACACAGACAAATAGAAAAGAACTATTCTTAATTTAAAGAGTCCTGATTTAGCACGGAGTAATTCTGTTACCCTATGATTTGGATTGATAAAAACCTTTTCTTTCTTTATTTTCTATATTTAAACCTCATTCTATGTCTATTAAAATCAAACAGAAGTCATTTGCAGATATACACCCTTAGCACGAACCAATATCGAATTCGAATAGTTTGCCAGTGCGAAATGTTATTGTCAAATTTTGTATGGAAACTTGAAAAGCAGCGCAGTAACGGACGTATCGAGAACTAAAAATCAGTACACATTTGACAATAACAATTCGCACTCGCAAACTATTCGAATTCGATATTGGTTCATGCTAAGGGTACTGGTACCCGTATAGGTGTTGAAATAAGTGAATATTGAAATGAAATCTTGTAACTTTCTAAAATTGAGTTCACACTCTTAAGCCCGTATTATAGAAAGATTCTCAGTGATTGATCTAGTCTTGAACATAGTTAGAAAGGGATGTCGCTATGTACAGCACATAGCGATATCCCTTTCTAACAGTACTCAAGTAAAGATCAACACTTAGTTGTCATTCTGTAATACGGGCCTTAAAAAGAAGACAGGCATTTGAATAGGATTTATATTGAGCTACGAAGTCTTTTGCATCTCCAATCAGTTCAATACAAGCGACTATTATGAATATTTTGGCGCGGGCAAGCCATGCAGTATTATTCATTTAGTAGACTGAATTACGGACGGTAATGGTATGGTAATGTATGCGTGTGACGATAGGCTATCGCGGTGGGTGCTGGGTTTTTGTAACGTCCGTAGCTTGTACCTTTATGGTTATATGGTTGAAAGTCGTGCGAATAAAATCTGATATTTTAAAGTGCACCTTGCTGGTCTGGTGTAGTGTCAAGGTTGGCTTGTCTTGTCGCTTTTATAATAAAATATCATTTAATGTTATTTTTTACTTTAAAAACAATATGTTATGGTAAAAAGTCTATGGGAGCGTTTCTTTGAAATGCAAAGTTAAGCTATGGGATTTTTAACAGTCAGCTCTTCTGCAAAGAGACAGTTTTGTTACCATACTTATTGAACTGGACAGAACAATTAACTAAATAAAACGCTTTGTACGAAGAACTTAATAACAATCAAATTAAAATTAAGATAATTTAGGCTTACGACATACAATTAAAAGGGTGTAGAGTCTTGTTTCTGGCACCTTGAGGTAATAAATACACTTACATACCCACAAAACATACACAACTCATACACACACGTATACACACACACACGCGCGCGCGCTAGAAACATTATTAAACTTTAACCATGATACTTGCTAATACTTAGTTTTTGCTTTTTGAAAATATTTAACATTTGTTTATCATACTGTTAATTACCATGTAGATGTGCAATTTTTTTGAAAGAATAGTCCTGATACACAGGTTAATCTTATATTTTTAGCATTCAGGGTCTCTATGATTGTGAAGTATTCTGGTATTGTTCCATTAAAGGTTTTTAATTTTTTATATTTTTTTCAATTAGCTGATGGTGTTAGTTACCTACCAGTTATATTATATTCAGATGTATTGTATAGTTTAACTTTACATCCCTTTAAATAAGAAAAGCGTTACATCGTCTGAATTTTCTTTAAAAATCGACATGGCATTTTCATCGCTTTACTTTTTACTAGTGGTCTAAGATCCGAACCGACATCGACCTTCACCGAGCTGATAATAGAATGAAACCTATTTTATCATGAATTTAGTATAATTGAAAATATATTAAAAATGGGTTGCCTCAAAAAATCCTGGATAGATTATTTTTAATTAATTAAAAAAAATGTAATTAAATGAAGCAACATCAAGATAAGAAAATGATGTTCTAAAAACAGTATAAAACATATAAAATGTGCAGCCGTTGGGTTGTCTATTATTTACCTGGGCGAACTAGTGGATTGCCAGGTATAAACAAGTACATAATTATGTCGATGACAGTTACGTTACCCAACGGCTGCACATTCTATACGTTTTATACTTTAAGGCAGGACAACATTTTCTTATTGTCTTGACGTTGCAACACATTTTTTCCTTTGAAATCTTCTTAATTAAAAATAGTCTGTCCAGGATTTTTTCTGGCAACCTAATTTTCATATATTTTGAAATATACTAAAGTCATGATAAAATAGGTTTCATTCTATTATCAACTCGGTGAAGGTCGATGTAGGTTGGGATCTCCTACACTTTATTTAGCTCTAGTATCATCTTTGCTTATCGGATCCTGTCTACCTTGGTGACAAGTAAATTCATACTCAATAATGAATTCTACTTAATTAAATACCAGCCACTATAGATAGGTTTAGATGTATTAGTGAAACTGCAGTGTTTCAGTGCAAATCCTTAACCAACTTTACTCCCTCCTACAGTAAGGACAAGATATAAATCCGTTGGTTTAACCCGCCACACTGAAATTAGCATTCAAGTTCAGTACAAGATATTTTAGCTGGATAGGGATGAAACGATACCATCTAGGTATCGATACTTTTACTTGATACTGTATCGGTCATAAAGTATCAATGTCTACTAGGTATCGAACGAAAAGTATCGATAAATTTTGATGAACGATATTACAATTAAAAATTCAGGCACAGGCAACGAAAACAAAATAACGGCTTACGCCACGCGATGAACAAATGAATGACTGCATAAATTGGAATAAATATAAATCATATGCAAGGCTGCTAACTGAGCAGTAGAAAAGATGCGTTCACGGAACAAAAATTTCAACTAGAGACCCTTACCATAGAGTAAATAATATGCCTATGAGTTTTTTGATACTTTTCAGTGAGTGACCGACCAAGTACCGTTACAAGTACTTTCTTCACGATACTATTTGTTAATCAGTTCTAAAGTATCGATGCCAAAGGTACTTGGTATCGAAAGAAAGTATCGAGTAGTTACTTGTATTTACTCGTATCATTTCATCCCTATAGCTGGAATAATCTTTAAGAAGGTTGAGGTATGTCGATTCTCTGTAACTGGCATCTTATTTATAATTTAATCTCACTCATAAAAGTAGAGCGCTGTTTACACGCATAGACTCTAAGGGCGCTTGTAAACAAGACGGTTCCTACCCTATGCACGGTTTTAAACCATCTCAATTTCCGGTTGTCAGTTAGGTATGAGACACTATGAAGGTTTTTGAATGACACCGGCGCTAGCACTTACAAGATAATTCCTACCTTAAGCACGGTTTAAATCGTCTCTACATCTGGTTGTCACTTAGGTATGAGACACTATGAAGTGTTGTTAATGACACCGGCACTAGCGACGGTTTTGAGTCGGTACAAACGTATAGACCGTGCTCACGAACAAGCAACAACCGGCCCGGTAGAAATCCGATAGAAATCGTCTCGTTAATAAGCGCCCTTAGAGTTGGTGCTACACTCGATCCGTATAATATTTTTTACACAGGACTTTTAACAGCTTTAGGTGTATTAAACAAGAAATACATTATTTTAAAAAATTACAACAGACAAAAGTTTTACTACATGATAACTACAGATTTTCTTTTGTTAAAAGGACTATAACAAGGATTGTATACACTCCTATTTAAAACCAGAGGGCGACACTATATATATTTTTTTATATTTAAAAATGACATTTTTAAACAACCTTTAATGTGAATGTTATTTGAACAATAACGCTACTTTATTTGTATTCTTCCTAATAAACGCTTTCATGTGGTACCCACGTAATCGATATGCAAAAAAATTACTATTCCGCCATCGTGGAATAATATTGGATTTAGAATAACGTCATTTAGCTAACCACACATTGTCATCTAAGTTTAGCGTGTATGCAAAATAACATCTTGAACGGTTGAAGATATCTGCTTGAAAATTTATTTGCGAGAATTTCTCCAAACATACGTACATTGCAGGTTCAATAAAAGCTGTCAATAATCATATTATTATGTTACAAAATGTATCTGGATCTTGTCGCACTTCTGACGTTTTCAAACACCGTGGAGAATATGCTAGGGACGACAACTAACTTCTTTTCTTCGTATATCAGGTAGATTACGAAAAAGTATTGAACAAGTATTTTTCTAGGTTTCAGCATAATCAAAATTTTACAGAGATTTATTGATTTTAAATGTCACGAGACGTTTTCATCCAATTTTCACAAAAAAAGATGTCTCGATTTTTAACGAACACGATTTAGTTGCTCTTTATCTTTGTGATTTTTTGGTTGATTATGAGAAATGAAAAAATAAGTGTCCATAATTTTTTTAATAATCTTACTGACAGACTAAATAGAATTTCGTTTACTTTACCCTGTCTTCATCCCTATTGCGTTAAGATTACTGTATGTAATGAAAGGTGACATTATCAATCTTCTCTGAAGTAATTTTTCTACTTGACGACTCTGTAAGTAATACAGGGAGAAAAAACAGGCCTTGCTGAGTTTCTTGCCGGTTCTTCTCAGTACAAGGTCTCCCGTAGCGTAGCTTCTAGATATTCTTGGGTGTTGCCTAAAGTGAATAAATGATTTTGATTATGATTGATAACGGTTATACCTTGTTCACTTACTTTGAATCAGAGGGCATACTCTAAAAAACCAACATGCGGTTGAAAATTTAATTGGATTTTTTAATAATTTTCTAACATAAACACGGACGTTTCCAAACATCACAGGGAATAAAATGGCGCTAATGTTAACATGTATGTGACTAACCTTGTGCTTGTCAAACTGTATATCCCTCAACCAGGGGTCGAACAGAAGTTTGTCCGGCTCGATGTTGACGGGGCTCTGCCGTCTGCCCTTGTTGCACATGCTCCACTGGGGGTTGATGAGCCCCCAGAACCCCGGGCCTGAGTGCGAAAGACAACTATTAGTTGCATCAACAAGTAAGAAAGACAATCCCATTAATACATTGTTATACACTTTCATGCTCACTAATATTATAGTAATTTGTGTTAATTACGGGAATGTTACCATGTACCTTGTTTTTAGCGAATTTCCGATATTTCGGAACTGTTGCAAGCGTGATCATGGCACTTGCAACAGTGCTGTAATATCGGAAACTAGCTAAAACAAGTTACATGGTAACAATCCCGTAAATAATATAAATCCTATTAATATTATAAATGTGAAAGTTTGTATGTTTGTAGGTATGTTTTATATGTTAGTTAAAAAGGTGGCAAAATAATATTACCCCTACCCCGTGAAGCCCTGAAACCTTACTCACTGGCAGAAACACGACACTACCAAAAGGTAGTGTTATTTTACTGTAGCCTTCTATAAGGTGGAGGTTACTTCCCCAGACGAGCGCTCCAATTTGAGCGGAAAATCCGCTATGCTCTACCTCTCAAACTTATTACTCAAACACGCATAAACTGTTGAACGGATGTGTGGATGAAATTTATTGAAGTTATACTTCTTTAGGCGCGTTATGAAAAAATGATGAGAGTGAAATTTTAAGATGCACGCGCATCACTGTAACACAAAATATTAACAGCATGAAGTTTTGTACTTTTGTGTACCGCACATTAAGAAAATCTACCAACAAAATAGAAATAGAATCTCTATTTAGTGGGTGCTAATGACTGCATTGTGAAGGCCTATCAAAAGTATTTATTAATCTGGAACAACGGAACCAAAGCGCGATTCAGGAGACTACAGCGCCATCTCTTGACCATTGGTGTAGTAGAACCAAAAACCACATCTTTATTTTTTGTAATAAAGTAACAGTTATAGGTATTCATATTAATAATACAAAAGTATTTATTAATCTGGAACAACGGAACCAAAGCGCGATTCAGGAGACTACAGCGCCATCTCTTGACCATTGGTGTAGTAGAACCAAAAACCACATCTTTATGTAATAAAGTAACACTTATAGGTATTCATATTTATAATATTTATCCACATGTTTCTAGTTTGTATATTCGGGATACGTGTTTGAGTTTCATACAAGTGCAAATCACATATGTTCTAATAAATTATATTCAGTAGCGATTATAATTGAATATTTTGATTATTTATTTATTTTTTCAAATTAAAACTGAACTTTATTGACTGTGTCCTTTTCCAGACTTTTTATTAATTTATTGTAATTAATTATTTGCATGCAATTAAAAACTAATTTTAAACGATGCCAAAGAAGGATAACTTCTCACGCGCCTACATAAGTACACGCACCCATTTTTTTATTTCATCCATACATCCGTTCAGCAGTGCAGCAATATATAAATAAAATTTAATTATATAGTTTACTTATGATGAGGACATAGGATTTTTATCCCGGAAATTTTTAAAGTTCCTGTGGAAACAGGCGGCCGCTAGTGATTAAACAAATAAGCCTATTGTTAATTGTTATTTGACTTAAGTACAGTCAGCCACACTTAGAGTTACGATAAACTGTAAAACTCAATACATTGTGAATCTTAAAATTAAGTGGGTTAAATCTCGGAATTAATTGGATAACTTGATTTGTGTCTCCGTACCTATCAAAACAATTACTATACACTGTGAATTTTGAGCTACCTGAGAAACTTAGAATTTGTTAATAAAAAAATGGGTAAAGTTATAAACAGTAAACGTAATATACAAAAATTTTGATTTATATAATTATTGATTGATTTCATTTATTAATTTTGCAAATGACATACCTAATATGGAATTATTATCCGTTTAAAGTGCGTTGATCCTAAAAGCAGTTTTATTTGAATCAATTTATGACTGTTAAAATTATTAACGTTCTTGCACAATTATTGAGATAGCATGACAACAGATTTGAAAAAAAATTTTTTTTTGTGAAAATATGTCTCAATCTTTGTCTGAAAAGTTAAAGTTTCTCAGATACTTATCTCAAAATTCACGCAGTATGTATATATTTTAATAAAAATATTACCCACCAGGACTTAGTATTTTATTCATGATCTTTAAAAATTAACTAGGATAGGAAACTACTAAAGGAATAACAAAACTTTTTAATAAAGTAAATATTAAAAGTTTTGTTAATCTTTTAGTTTTTCCAACGGAGTTATGTATTATTTAGAAACAAAAAAAGGAACAATAGGATTGATTGGTAATATACGCCTCCGCCGTTTGTTTGTGCGTCCTCTGACTATGGACCATTATAGATAAAGTGTTGAAATTTTAACAGATTTATTTGTTTTTTTAGATTTTCACGCACACCACTTATTAAATAAAACAAGTTTCAACAAGCGTCGTTTGAATAAGTAATAATGAAAAATGATGCGAAATGACAATAAATAAATAAATCAGTGCATCTGTACCGTTGTTGATTTGCCACTAAAATAAAAATACAACACAAACAAACCTAAATTTAAAAAGAATATCCGCTGTTGCTTTTTTCTTTATTCAACGTAGTGCGATGCGATGATGGTACGGAATTCGTATCGTCCTCTACCCGCAACTTGATCTGTCATTTTACTACCTTCCAACCAATAAATGAGAAACTTTCCCATTAGAAACGCATTACGAATCACAAATTATTACAGTCATTCAGAGCTTTAGCCTAAAGGCTATATTCAATTCCATAGATACCACATCCCATACAGAATCAGGGCACCGCAAAATTTAGGCATCGTTGAATAGGGGTAATGCGCCACTAGGGTGACTCCGTTGTACGCTCCTATCGGACGTCATTACCGGGGTACGGTCATTACCATTACATTAGTTACAAGAGGTCAGTGGCTGGTAATGATGTTACTCCGTGATTCCCTTTGTCAAAGGGTTGAATTATCAGTACACGTATGTGTGGCGTTTTAGTGACGTGATTATTCCTGAACAGTGGGATGGTATATTTGTGCGAAGCTGTCCTGCGCTGATGAGCAAAACTGAAAGTTGACAGTATTTTTATGATAAAAAGTTGATGGCTAGTGTAATTATAATGATGACCTTTATTTAAAATTACATTAAAAATCTAAATGAATAAAGTACGCGGTATGCTTAACTCATACTGCGTCTAAATTGTTTTTCAAAATAATTTAGACAAACATTTTTTATTAGCATTATTAAAATATAATACCACCTATTATTGTTATGATATTATTATTTTTAACGTGCTAATTTATCTTGTTTATGTAGTTAGGGGTATCAAATAAAAAACAATTATAAAACGACTTATTTACCTAGTTAAATACAAATAAATAAAATTTTTATCTATCCTGCTAATATAATAAATGTGAAAGTTTCTATGCTAATTCCTCAATGGTGCAAAAACTACTGAACAGATTCGCATGAAATTGGGTATGATTAGGTAATTTGTAAAAAAAAGTTACATAGTATTGTTTGAGACATAGGATCTTTTTATCTCGGAAAAATGAAAAGTTCCCGTGGGGTTCTCAGAAACGTAAAGGTAACGCGGACAAAGACGATCTCCGTGGCTGAGTGGTATGTACGCCGTGTTTCATGGTGTCGCCAACTCGAGAGGTCCCGGGTTAGGACCCCGGTGGGGGCAGCTATTTGTGTGATGAATACGAGCAGTCGTAATGTTTAATATGTATTTTCTATATAAATATACTTACATAAGTAGCAATATATGTCTTCTTTCCGTTACCCTAGTGTCCCATAACATAAGCCCGTGGTGCTTACTTTGGGGCTAGGCTAATTGGTGAGTATTTAAAAATAACGAAAAAAAAGACGTCGGTAGTCACTATAAAATATTTTCCCCAATACTAATAAAGTATGAAAATACGTATAAAATGTTAAATTTTAAGCTCTACATAGAAACCTAAATAATCTTCTTATGTAGATCTTAAGAGTACAAAGTATAACAGTACCGGCTTTCCGCAATATTCAGAAAAGAAGGTAATATTTGATGTGTTTCTTAAAAACAATAAATTTTACCTTCAACAGCAATCGCCCCATGAAAGGCTACGGTAACACAATCCTTCAAAACATTTACATATTAGGGACATCAGTCACTTGACTGTCAAATATGAACGATTACATTTACTGTTACGTAATTGTTCTTAGAAAATAAACATTATAGCAGACGTTAAACTATATATTAACACGTGTTTAGTGACAATCTCCGTAATCATTAGAGTTCTAATCACGTTATTGCATAGTACTATACATATAATATATAATTATATACACAGTCAGGTCATAAGTATTGTCACACAGTAAAAACTTTTCTTTTAGAATGCTGGCCACAATAAAGTTTATTGAATTCGAATTTCGAATTGTTCATGAAAATAAAAATGTATACTTTTTAGAATTTTACTCATTTTTAATTATGGAGTGGACGCTTAAAGAAGACCATGTTGCAGTTATTGCGTTGTATCGTTGCCAATTAAAATTTTTGACATACTGAAAAAAATTAATATTACTAAAAGATTCATTTATCAAACGATACAATGAAGACTCTAGTGTAGATGACAGGTCAAGAAGTGGTCGCCCTCGGTCTGTTATGACTTCAGCAGTGATAAAAGCTGTGAAGGCGCGAATTCAAAGAAATCGCAAACGTAAGCAGAAACTGTTGGCCCTTCGGATGGGATTAAGCAGAACCACGGTGAAAAGGGTGTTAAATGAAGACTTAGGGCTTCGGGCATATCAAAGAAAAACAGGACATCGTTTGAATGCTCGTCTAATGGACCTGAGACTGAAGAGATGCCGTGCTTTGTTGAAGTGGTACGCGGGAAAAAAAATTCGGGAAATTCTTTTCTCGGATGAAAAAAATTTTACCGTAGAAGAGAGCTACAACAAACAAAATGATAAGGTGTACGCACACAGTAGTGAAGGAGCGAGCAACTGTATTCCGCGTGTCCAACGAGGTCATTTTCCATCCTCGCTCATGGTATGGTTGGGTATGGTTTCTTATTAGGGCTTAACAGAGGTACATTTTTGTGAGAAAGGTGTAAAAACGAATGCAGTTGTGTATCAAAATACAGTCCTGACAAACTTTGTGGAACCTGTTTCTCATACCATGTTCAATAACAGGCACTGGGTATCGCAACAAGATTCAGCGCCAGCTTATAGAGCGAAGAGCACACAAGGCTGGCTGGCGGCGCGTGAAATCGACTTCATCTGGCACGAAGACTGGCCCTCCTCCAGTCCAGATTTGAGTCCGTTAGATTACAAGATATGGCAACACTTGGAGGAAAAGGCGTGCTCAAAGCCTCATCCCAATTTGGAGTCACTTAAGACATCCTTGATTAAGGCAGCCGTCGAAATTGACATGGACCTCGTTCGTGCTGCGATAGACGACTGGCCGCGCAGATTGAAGGCCTGTATTCAAAATCACGGAGGTGATTTTGACTAAAATTTACTGTCATAAGAATCTATGTTTTATTAAGTTCATTTTGGTATATAAATGGTTACATAATGAATAAACTTGTTTCAATTATTTTATATTAAATATGTGACAGAATTTATGACCTGACTAGGTATATACAGGGCGTCTCATGGGTTTGTCACACGGAGGGAAAGTATAGAAATTTTATTTTTATTAATAAGTAGAACTGCATTCTCAGTTTTTTGAAAAATTGCCTGCATAAACCGGGAACCAATCTCGTGAAATATGAAACAAAAGTTTTTTTTTTCAAATTTCACTAGTTGGAGCAAGTGATATTAAAAAAATCTGTGAATGCGGTTCAAGTTATTTTTAAAAATAAAATGATGGCTCCTATCAGTAAAATATCATATCTTCAAAATTTAATGTACTTTCCCTCCGTGTGACAAACCCATGGGACGCCCTGTATATTTATACATATATGTGCGTTTATAAAGTACGTCGTACATTCTTTAATTTCGATATATATTGAATATTACCACGTAAGTGTAGATAAATATAGTTTTTATTGCTATATACTAACAATATTTTTATGCTGTGCTGTTTTTGAAATCTTCCTAAATTTAACTGGCCAGAGGCTAGTGTGAGCACGCCCTTAGGAAGGAAAATTCCCTCCAAAAACTAAGCAATAACATTAGGCGTACGCACAAAAATCTATTAAGATTCCTATCACAAAAACCACTAGACGAAAAGATAATTTTACACTTGGTAGGTTAAAAATAGACAAGTGCCGAGGTACCTACTCCAGATTTCGGTCGGTTGAGCATTGACTGCCCAATATAATGATACGGGTGGCCGAGCGCTATCATTAAGATGCTATCTGGCATCATTACCCTGCTATCATTACCGGACATGGGGGTGTGTCCTTATTTTTATAAGGCAGAAGCGTTTGCGGGCGACATCGTCCACGCTGATATTAAAATCCTTTGGGAAGCATTTTATGTACTTCTGAGACGGACGGCGCGACAGCCCCCGAAGCGTCTTAATTATGTAACTAGTAGGTGCATGCGACTTCGTCTGCGTGGAATAATTGGTTAGGCATTTAGTTAAAGGATTAACCTTCGTGCTGCGTACAAACTTTGACCCCCCGTTGTACCCCTTTAGGGGGGCGAGTTAAGGAAAATCTTTTTTTAACGACACCTACATCATAATAGCTATATTTCAGTGCAATCCGTTCCGTGGTTTGAACTGTGCATTAATAGATCAGTCAGTTAGTAACGTTTGCCTTTTATAGATACAGATGTACGATATTGTTTGAATACAGTCACACTGAAATGTGAAGGCGAATAGGTGCAGTACATATGAAAGCTTAACCCATGCCATGCGTTACACTAGTTGGCTTGTTTGCTCAATAACTTACAAGCATTGATCATATTAGTAGATATAAAAAACATGCTCCTTTATGAATCTCAAAAAATTACTTTAGATTAGATTAGATTTGTTTGCTTTCGGCCACCATCGCAATTGTGTTTTGCAACCAGCTATCTATGAGGATTTAATTATTCTTCATACACAATCAGTTACCAGAAAAATCCTATTGATACGTTTTTCACAACCAGGAGCTCTATTTTTGAATCACTCGTCTGCCATAGTATCGTCGAATTCGACATAAGATATAAAACCTTCGACTTTCAAGTCGCAATATACTGATTTTCCTTATTTTTGAATCGTTCGTCACCGGTGTTACTATACAAAATATAAAATTTTACCATTTCACGCACAAAAAATAAAAACTGGTAATTACCGTAATGAAAACCGAACGAAAAATTCTCCGTACATGACTTTATAATACAATTGTATTTTGTCGTTCATTATGCAGGCACTTTACTAAGCTATTCGTGATTGCCGTTTGTAAACTTGACATGCATTAACGGTCATGCCTTATTAAAAGAAGAAGAAACTTGACATCAGTCTGCCCTTGTCGTTTTATATAAAGCATGACAAGGATAGATTATCGTCATCTAATAGCACAAAAAAATGACAATTATTCTATCATTCGCCTCCACCATTCGCCATGCAACGAGAGGTCTCACCCATTCGTTGCACTCGAGCGATTCAAAAATACGGAATTAATTATGTCGAATGAAATTTAGTAGAAATCGAGCGTTCGACGCAAGGCGAGTGATTCAAAAATAGAGCTGCAGATGTCTTGCTCTTTCAGATGTCTGCTGACACATGAAACATAATCGGGTGAAATATTTCCTTTGATTCAATTCAAATTCAATATCGATATCACCGCAACATAAAATTAAATTCTAATACACTAATTGGTGTTGTTTCCTACCAAAAATTCAATAATTGATTTACTGAAAAATAGTATTATCTATATTTTAGTTTATTTAATCAAAATGTATTTCTTAATTTTAGATTCAGTATTATAAAGAAATTAATTACCTGAAATTCCATCGTACGTCCACCATTCCTCCCAGCTACCTGATATATCTGAAAAAAGAAACAAAAGTTCAAATCAATCAATTTATATCCTTGCCTTCTTTAAAGTTAAGTTACTTGACTAGATAGAAACTGACTCCCTGGGGGTCTGATACTCGTACGTCACTAAATTGATATTCGCCTGTTAGGTATTAATTACCCATAGTTATAATAAGAATGACGTCAGGATAATGTAAACGAAATTATATCTAGTTCGTCAGTTAGATCATCAAAAAAGAATGGGCATTAATTTTTTCTTTAGTCAATTAACCAAAAAATTAAAGAGAGAGCGCGTCAAACTTTAAAAGTGGGGGCATATGACATCACTTCTAAGTCGATCGTCGATCGTCTCGCATCACGTCATGACAAATCTAACCAATATATCTGTATAATATTTTGATTATATGTATAAATAAAAAATACTTTATGATAATTTACCTAACAGACGAAGAAAAAAAAGGCCAGTGAGCATCCCTATTATTTTGAATCTATGTTTTGAACAATGAATGAAAAAATATCATAAATCGCGTTATAGGTATACTCGTTTAAAATATATTTTATTAAGATGGTAATAACCTTTCACGAGCTATTGCCGCAGGTGATTAGCGCATTCGACCTGCAATCGTAAAGCAACTTTCGCAATGCTTGATTATTGGATGGCTGATCAAAACCTTATAATCACGAACTCCGTGCTTGGACCAAGCTGCAGCTGAAGTCGTTAGCACTCAGCAATCTGCACTAAGCCCATGTGTTGGCTCACGGGCCTGTCTCCCTATTCCATCTATGGGGAAGACATCCAACAGTGGGGACATTAGTAGGCTGATGATGATGGTACCTTTCACCGTGACGCATAGTAAAGTGAGTATGAACAGCGAGCATTGCTGCATCGTGGCGATGCGCAGTCACGCCCGCCGCCTCATCTGGCTTCACGGTTCTGAAACAACACAGAAAAAATGTGTTCTTAATCTATATAACATTAAAAAATTAAATTAAATTAGACGACCTCCTTGGCCGAGTGGTTTGTACGCCGGGTTTCATGGTGTCGCCGACTCGAGAGGTCCCGGGTTCAAATCCCGGTGGGGGCAGATGTATGTGTGATGAAAACGAGCATTTGTACTCCAGTCATGGATGTTTAATATGTAATTCTATATAAATATACTTATATATGTACAGTATATGTATTCTATCCGTTACCCTAGTATCCCATAACACAAGCCTTATAGTGCTTACTTTGGGGCTAGGCTAATTGGTGTGAGTGTTGGCAATATTTATTTTATTTATTTATTTATGTTGGTGAAACTAAAAGATTTACAGGTGATGATAAAAAATAGCACTGTCATACATACAAACCAATTTAATAAAAAAACTTAGATTGAAACTCAGAAAGAAGTGCGAGTCACTAAAAACGGAAGAATAACTCAGGTCCTAGGTACCAGTCATCATATCACTCTCCTCATCTATGCAGGTCATTGATCAGACAATTATATAAAATCGTGGGGTATGTGACTTTGCTATCAATAATTAATAATTACATATAAATAGCATTCCATTTACGTATTTATTCGAATTAGGGTACACCCCACGATATTATTTATTTGTCTGATCAATGACCTATAGTGATGACGGGTACTAGGCCTGGATATGGAGGTTATTTTTCCGTTTTTAGTACATTTTTTTATCTGTATTTTTTCCATAAAAACGTTAACTTATATTTTGTAAACTTTTTTTTCGTTAATTAATAAAAGAGGTTAAGATATAGGATGTATCATACTACAATTAAATGCGCATTGTATCGAAGTGTTGACATAATGAAAAATAAGGAGTATTATAAGGTGCGGTATAAGCCACTGCTTTTAATTGGTCAATTAAAAGTACTTGTTAATTTGGTCTTCGTGATCTTTAAATGACAATAATAAATTTATGCTACCTGTGTAGTGTATCCTTACACTACAACTACAACGAGGTTTATGTTTTTATTAATGATTTGAATTCATTTAATATTGTTACTTATTTAGACTTTTAAAGGTACATGATTTTCCAGAGCAAAAAAAAATACGAAAACGAAAAACAAACAAATAACTGTAAAAAAAAAGTTTTTTCAAAATCTTTACTGATAAAAGAAAAGTATCCAGCCAAGCCCCGAGTTTGCATGTTCTATCATAATTTACACCGCGCACTGCTCGTTTATATTGTCTGTGGCGAAGCGTACGTTCAAGCAGGTCGCATTAATATTTTAGTAATGAGTTTTTAACGGTTACCATTTTAGTTTTATCAATAGCCATCGAAAGATTAATTTTGGTGAACAGCTTTACAATCAGAAAACACAGAACTGAATACCTATACATAAGCCCCCTTATTAATAAACAAGGAATAAGTTTAGAGTAGTTACGCCGTGATTTGTTCATGTCACTCAAATGTCATTTGTCTTTGAATGGACAGAGACAAAACATGGAATAACAAATCCAAGTCTATTCTTCGTTTATTAATAAGGGGGAAGGAGTTTATATTTCCAGAACGCTGCGGCCAAAGTACACCTAAATACGGAGGCTGTGTTGCGGTCCACTCGAATATGAGCCTTAGCAGTGCGGCGTTAGGGTGAAAGCTGCCTACTTGTTTACAACTCATGCGTGGTACCTGCGTTAAAGTACTCGCCGGGGTGCTAGGGAACTCTTAATCGAACTGGACTTTTGTGGAATGCGTCGATTGGCGTGTATAAGGGCGCTGGACTCTGAGCATTGAGAGTTTATTTTCAAGACGATTACAGTTGAGTTTGGTTGGTATTTTCGCTCGACTTGGGTATGTTTTCCTTCACCTTACAGATGACCACAGTAAAATAATATTTTTATGGTGTTGTGTTTCTGTTGGTGATTAATCACCAACGAACCTTAACCCAACATTCCCAAGGGGTATAAAAAAAATTTCGTGTCGTCAATTTAAAGTTGTATTTAATTGGAACGATAAACTAGCAAATTTAATTTTTCATTGAGTAGGCTTATATAATTACACCTCAATCTATTTGCGGGTGACCGAATATTATTGTTATTAGAAAAAAATAGTAAGTGTCACCGCACACGGGCCACACGCCACAGCCCCAAACGCCGCCACGAGAAGCTAGAAGCGGCTACTAAAGTGGCTGAAGCGCGCGACAGCGGCCGACTAAGGTAAGGGAGAGTGGGGTGGGGAATCGCGTGTGTGACGTGTGGCGGCGTATGTATCGGCGCATTAAGTGTCCGGTGCGGGCCACAGGAAGCGAGCAACGACGATTTGTAGCGTGTGGCGGCCACCGGCGTACGTAAATGTATGAAAACTACAAGAAATATGCCGGTGTGTGGTTGTGGTCGGTGGCCCGTGAGCGGCGACACTAAGCGAAGTTTCATTCGAAATTTCATTTTTTTAAATTAGAGTAGGCCAGGGTTCTACAGGGTAAGGGCTTGGGTTAGGGTAGGCTTTTGCCTTTGCGTAAGGGACGCTTTTGGTATCGCAAAGAGACGCTTGCTATAGCTACATATATAGGCTATGGTGGTCACTTACCATCAGGTTTTTTGACACCTTTTTAATATAATAAAAATTTGAAGTTATTATTCTGTAAGCAATAGTGACTTTCGTTTTAATCAGTTAAGCATAACGTTTTCAACATTGCCCGCAGCCCCGCAACTTGATCAAATGCAAGCTTATAATAAATAAAGCGGCAAATCCTCAATTTAGCTGATAAAAAAAAGCCTTTACCAACAAAATGACTCGGTTATCTGCGGCTCGGAGCAATCTCGACTCAGATAATCCTAATGTACAGAATTAACTGGTACAGATCCAAGATATAGATAACGAACAGTGTAGGTATATTTGGAGCTCGTTGGCCACGACTTTATGGAGTTTTGTTGTTTTTCCTCCTGTGTTTTTGTGGGATACTTGTTAAAGATTGATTTGTTCGCGAATAATGTACGTGATTGTATATTATTATTTAAGTTTTAATACCAAAAAGAAGAAGGATGCACCCATAAATATTGAATTTGTTTCTAGTAATAATTCAATACTTAAAATATAATTAGAAGTACATTTTTGTTAATGTTACTAGAAAAAAATCCACGCGTACCAGGCAGCAGACGGGACTCGAACCCGCACCCTTCGCTTTCCGGGCGAATACACTAACCAATTATGTTACCGCGGCCCTGACGGTTGTGTACACAAGCATTGTCTTTTCACGGACACTACTCATTTAATGAAATGAAATTTTTAAAGGAGCATTTAAACCCGTTTAAGTGTGAAACGGGTTTAAATGCTCCTTTAAAAAGGAATGAAAAACTGTACATCATAAAAATAATAAAAAAACACGCATTTTAAACTCGTTTGAGTGTGTTTCATGTAGAGGTACATTTCTTTTTCATTTTCCATTTTATGTATTTTCTCTCTAATTTATTGTTACAACTGTTCATTGCCCAGAATCAATAGAAAGTAGTCAAATGATGATCTGATGAGATGATTGTGTCATTTGTCACTCATTGTGTCATTTTAAGGAGTACTTTGCTATTTACATAAAAACAATAGCATAGCAAACATTTAATGTATACTATTTACACTACCAACATAATGGGGTTACGATATAAAAAATAACATCATCACCAGCCTTTTAATGTCGCCACTGCTGGGGCCTTCTCTATGGATGGAATAGAGAGTTTGGGCCATGACCCACCACGCGGGCCCAGTGCGGATTGGTGGGTGCTAACGACTGCAGATGCAGCCGGGACCAACGGCTTAACGTGCCTTCTGAAGCACGGAGGAGCACGAGATAGTAAATTTTTGGTCACCCATCCAATGACCGACCACTGCGAAAGTTGCTTAACTTCAACGATCGCAGCCGAACGCGTTAACCATTGCGCCATTGAGCTCCTCCATACGATATAAAGTAATAAAAGTAGAATAGTATTACCTTTTCGTAGTGTTGTTTTTTTTGTCATGTAAAGTTCCAGGAATACATGGGATAGGAGATTAGGTCAGGGTGCCTACCCGGCGCGGTCCGAGTGATATTTTCGAGTGGTATCGTCTACAGGCTATTATGACCGCTTACAATCAGGAGGCCCAGGATACGCTTGTTTTCCATCCTTTTTACATGAAAAAATGTAATTGGAGTAGAGTCGCGAAGACACCCGGTAAAAACGTGTGCCACCCAAGCATCCTCCCGGGAGTCCTAGAGCGTTGCTTATTACCAACAGAAGCACATCAGTATGAAACTCAGACGCGTCCATAGTTCATGTAGTGACTTTAGAAGGATATGTAACCAAAAAATAAATCTCTTGTGTGTATCAGGAGGCACGTCAAGTCGTTGGCCCCGGCTGCATTTGCAATCGTTAAATCGCACTGAGATCTCATGGTTATAGCCCAATTTTTTTGAAGTCAAACTTCTTTTCGGACGTTTTTAAATGGAAAAATATAAAAAAAGATGAAACGGAAATATCTTCTTTTATATATATAATTCTTCTGTGAGTGTGTATGTCACTGAACTTCTCTTAAACGACTGGACCGATTTTGATGAAATTTTTTGTGTGTGTTCAAGGGGATCTGAGAATGGTTTAGATTCACAATTTTGTCCGCTGGACAATGTTTTTTTAATTAATTTTTAATTTATTAGTAGTTGTTGATTTTGGAATGTTTTACATTGGATCCGACAGACATCGCAGTGTCAAATTTTCAAATTAAAGACGTGTAGACAGGACAACGTCTGTCGGGTCCGCTAGTATTTATATATATATGTGTGTGTGTTCTGTGAGGCTGAAACGCTTCGAGCGTCACGCGGGAAAAACGTGACAATATATGTACATATATGTATATATGTGATGCGTGTGCTGCTCTATTCCCCGATGCCTTATGCACCGCCTAATGTTAGGTTATTTAAGAAATAAAGTTTCATTTCAGACGTGTGGTCCGTGCAAACAATTTTTT